GCTGCCATTGTCTATATTCTTTACGCCTACATGTTTGAAACATTTAAAAAGCATGAAATACACATTAATGTTCACAAAATTGAGTTCAATGTAGGCCTGGGCAAGTTGCAGCCAGCGGGCCGCATCCGACCAGTGGCAACGTTTCATCCGGCCCGCGAGCAGACTTCTAGATTTAGACACTTTCGTTTTTTTTTACCTCTAAACTGTACTTTAGTTTTTTTATTGTAATGAAAAACCAGTGTTTTAGTAGCGATGTTTTATAGACCATAGTACCAGCTGGTAAATGCAGTCAACTTTGCGAAAATGACCAGCGCTTATTTTTGCAGGTGATCGATCACTTATTATATTAATAGAGTAATAAAAGCCTGAATTTTGCTCGTATTTTTGATGAGTCAGGAGTCGTGCGCTAACACAGCCAGTATTTTGAATATTATTGTAATTACATCTGTCGTTGAACCTGACAAACGCGTAATGAAGATTGATTTGACTTAGTCCGGCCCGCCACTGCATTTTGAATTAGCTCCATACCAAAAATAATTGCCCAGCCCTGATTTGGAGGCAGCATTTTTTTTTTGTGTAAATGCGTTTTTACCTTGATAATTTGGCGCGCACGAACAAAAAGTTTGTGAACTGCTGCTACAGAATAGAATAATAGACCATACAATAAACTTTCATTTCATGCTACAGTGGCGGATTCAAATCAGTTCATTTATTCCACGAATTAAAATCGCGAAATCACTTTTTGAATGTGCTCTACGTATCATCGATTCGAATGCAAAAATCGAGGCGCAATTGTAATATACTGCAAAGTCATGGAAATTTGAGTTTATCAAACAGTTGAAAATATAGAATTTATCATCGCGGTGTTTCTACAGGGTGATCAGACCAACCGTAGACACATGTTTATTGAAATATCTGCAATATAAATGTAAGCGAAAAAAAAATATTTCACTGGAAATAGCTGTATAAAGATAAATAATAGAATTCATTGTTATTTTTCGATATAACAACTTGTCGGGACGAAATTTTAAAAGAAACCATTCGTGCATCAAGTTCCAATCAGATCGAGGCGTGTAGTGAAGGCCTGTTTAAAGATTAAGAGGGGCATTGTGGTAAGCGTTAGGAATACGCTTGCCACGCACCTATGATTACCCTGTGTGGATTCGCAGTTTCGAATCCTGAAGGGCTTGGGTGTGCAGCCTGTAATACAGGAGGGCAAGATACAAGCAAACTGGGTGAAATTGAAGGCTTTTGTTTAACATAGACTTTCTAGTAGTTGCAGGCACAAAAAAAATTGATTATTGATCTTATGACATGCGTTGTTCGCTTCTCACAAGCTAACTGTTAGGGCATTGTAACGTCATAGGCATAGATAATAATTTGAACTCAGGCATAGGCTTTGCAAGGCAAATGGATTGGAATTACTCGCACGTACCAGATTAAACTAAATCAAAAACTCGTTTCGCAAATTCCCATGTGGGGCGCATTCGGCCCGCGGGCCACAGGTTGCACACCCTTACCGCAGGGGATAATTATTTGTGAGAGGATTGCTGGACTCCTCACCGCGGTAGGGTGGTTCACGTAACCACTGGTCGGTTACGGCTTTCTCTACAATCAAGCCCATGCATCTGAATGCAAATAATTGCCTAACTAATCCCATACACGACATGAACTGGTAAACGAACGAGAGGTCGTGGTTCGCCATATGATTAAACCGTCTTATCGGTTTTTCTATCCCCGGAATAAATATGTAAATTCATGCCTTTTCTAAGAAGGCGAAAAAACATTATTGGAATGCGTGTTTCTCGACATTTACTGGACAAATGATTGATCCAATGGCTACAAAGGACATTAAGGTCAGGAGTTCAGACGTGTCTCAACATAGTGGAGTATAAATTTCTCGTAGTTGTGATTCGATCCCCGATTAATAACAAAAATTCAGTTCAAAAGCCAGGTTCTTTAATACAAAATCTTTAGCATTAAAGAAATGTATTTCAGTTTAACCTATAAATATCGCAGCGGACCTTCATTATTAATCCATACGTCTTTTGAGAGTTTTCTATTGCAGTGGTTCCAAATCTTTCTACCATGGCGGACCGGTACTGTTAAATAAAATATACTCACGGGCCGGCAAAAAACTGAAATAACTGGAACAGAAAATAATAATACATATTTGCGTAATTTAATGCAATGTCAGTCCCTCAATATGATTTTAGATAAAAAAAAAGCACATATAAAAACATTTTAGGTTGGTTCATTACCGGGTACACGATAGAGATGTACCGATACCACTTTTGTCGCCGATACCGATCCGATACCACCTAAAACGCCGATACCGATACTACTAAAATTCCGATACCGATACTATGTAATTATTACTTAATTAAGTGTGCTGTGTAGGGCAGAAGGGTTAAAACAATGGTCTTTGAGCGTTGTTCATAGTACACATTATTTCAGATCGAAAAAAGGGATATATCACATAATATGAAATTGATCTTTGGTATCCAGACGCTGATTGAGATGCATTGTACAGTGACGCTAGTAATCTCGGTTCAATTAGAAAACTCATAAGCCGGGATGTCCAATTCGAAGTTAATGTTAATATCGCAACCTTCGAATATCGTTATTCGTGTTTAAAAGAATATCGAATATCGCCCACACATTCTAACGCCGCCGTCCTACGTTCAAATTAAAGAGTTTACAAATATTTTATTTTGTGGTTGATCATAATCGTCGCCACAATAAATCAAAGCCAACATGAAAGAATATCAATCAGCACCGACAAAAAGAAGGCCTACCTATAACTGTCGAGCATGTTTTTTTACTTCACTATTTTATAATATTTTACAATTGCTATCATATATTTTGAGACAGTCTAGGGCTCTAGTCAGTCATGTCAATATATCTATAAAGAAATTGTGTAGTTAAAACAAAATCGAAATTAATACCTGCGTAGAGGAATAGTTGTGTCGGAATTTAGTTTATCGATGTCGACGGACTAAATGACACTCGTACTTGACGACTAACAGTCAGAATTTATAGCCGTGCCCAAAGAGCACGTGGCGTTAACAAGAACTCCAATTCCACTGTTATGATTTAAAACTGGGCGCCTCGTTGCTTTTTGTTATGTGATGTGTTGATATATTTTTTCATAATTACTATGTAATATTAAGAATGTCAATATAAAAATGTGACAGCGAAAACAGCCAAATTAGTTGAGCTACTTTGGCTGATAAATATCTAAAAACAGGTGAATCATATTCCCTCGCGGGGATGGGGACATGTATGGCTCATAGCTCACGATCTCTTTGGACAAAAAATAAATTTAAAAGTAGTATTTAAACTTATCTTTTAAAACATTCTGGACCATATCAAAAAAGTTAATATGTCGGAAATATCGGCCTTAATCCAACCGATACCGATACATGGCCGACACCGAAAAAATGGCCGATATTGCCGATCCCGATACCGATACATCAGTACATCTCTAGTACACATACCATGTTCAGGTTGTGCGCCATCTTGGTACACATAATTCGGATGCTCCACACAATAACATGAAAATAATTCAGTACAATTTGGAGTGAGACAAATATAGTGTAAAAATGTATAACTACTTGCACGTAGACAAAGGCTATCATACAAGCAGAAGAAAAATATTTTTTTTTATTTCAATCAGAGAAATTGGATTCAATTGGATTGATGAATGAGAACGAGGATGTCAAGCTAACAGCAAATAATGATTAAATAGCTTGCATCAAGGCTTGAACAGTCATCAATATTCCTGTTTATGTACCCTAGTAGTTTCAAGTATTGAAATAGTATAGGCTGGTACGGTTTCCGTCTGTCAACAAAAATTGAACGCTTATAAATGAAGGTTTGTTTCGCTCAGTACACGAAAATATATAATAATGTATTATAAAACGTGATTATGATTAATAAAAGCGTACATTGACGGGAAAAACCTAAAAATTGCAAACACACAACGCCTTCCCTCATCTGGTGCATTAACTGGCTCTGTTTTTTCATCATTTAATTTATAATCAATTAATTGTCGCGAAAGAATAAAAGATTCCACGAAATGATTTATTTTTATGATACAGCGTACAGGCGGCTTCAATTATGTTTCATTTATTTGATAAATTAATATCGTGAATTCACTTCATGACAAACATCGATTAACGCTCAGAAAGCTATGGCGTGATCTATTAATTCAGCATATCTGACAATAGAGATAGACACTATTTGCTGCAATTTCGTGAGATGCAGTTTATTTATCTGCTGAACCGAGCTGAGCGAACATGAATAATTTTTCAACTTCAAAGAAAAATCCGGGAAAGATAAGGAAGAAGAGTTGACATTTTGCCTTCATTCCTTAGGCGCGTGTTTACAAACTTGAAAGGCATTAAGTACACAGTAACGTTCACAAAATTGAGTTGTATTTAAAAGCAGCATTTTTTTCGGGTAACTGCGCCGTGAGTATTTTCCCTGATAATTTGGCACCGCAGGAACAAAAAGTTTGGGAACCGCTGTACTGTGGCGTATCTACGTAAAATGGCGCCCATGACAAAATTTGAATATGCGCCCCCTCTGATTGTTGACGGGCAATTTTTAAGAACTATCGTTGAATTGAGATACTTTTACGTTATTATTTAGGAAAAATAGGAGTTTCAATTATTTCCAATTTGTAATTAATGGCGCGAGCCATATAGCTGCCACGCCCTAGATACGCCACTGCCGCTGTACTACAGTATTCTGGGCAGCTTCAGTTCAGATCAATTTATTTCACAAATTAAAATCGCGAATTAACTTTTTGAATGTCCTATACGTATCATCAATTTAAATGCAAAAATCGAGGCGTGATCTTTTTAATTTAGCATAGTTTATATTCATGTCTTAGCGCGGCAATGTTCGCTTACAAATATTCTTTCCGTACTGTTTCCACATTCAGTTGAAAGTTCGAGACGTTTTGAGCGAACTTTAGTATTAAAACGTTCTTTAAAACCTAGATGAGGCGGTAAGCAGTTATTATTGACAGTTTTTACTTTTCATTTGGTGCTCCCGAAGTATTCTTACTAAGATGGCGCACAACCTGAACATAGTATGTGTACCAGGCTAGGGTTGTTCAGGTTGTGCGTCATCTTGGAACGAATACTTTCGGAGCGCCTTTTGTTTAGCCTATTCCATTGAAATATATAGATTATTTTACCATGAAACTGTCCGAATTGACGGTGACTGCGGAAGATGCCACGGACGTGGGAAAGAAATGCTTGCTAACATTTGCAGCAATCGGAGCGGCTTACTACCTCTGGTATCGAAACAAATGCAGTCAGCTTCGATTGAAAGCCATTGATAAAAAAAGAGCCGAACAAGAATATATCAAACAGAAGTTGAACACTCTACAAAGAGACCTGGTGGGTGTTAATGTTTCGTTCGAAATTTTACCATCAGATCTTCCACTTTCAAAACAAATCTTTGAGCAAGAAGCTATTATTACTTGCGTAGTCACTATACGCCAGGGGTGTGCAAACTGCGGGCCAAATGTGGCCCACGAGAAAAACTTGTGCGGCCCGCGGAGAAGGGCCAATTTCGAATGGTGTGCGGACCGCGAAACGAGTTTTTAATTTAATCGAGTATGTGCGAGTAATTCCCATACAATAATAATTGTAAATTATTTTCAATCAAAAACATCCTCGACGTGTTATAAGTACTTCAAGTCGGTGCTGCTTTAAATCCTATCATGTCGGCAATAATTAATTGCCACAATGAGCTGTCTTCGATTACGATAATGGATAAAATATAAAATTTAATAATGTTTGTAAAATGTTTCCAAAAAAAAACGTGGACGGCGGCGCTAGGATGTGTGCACGACATTCGATATTATATAAACAATAAAAACGATATTCGAAGGTAGCGATATTCGAATATTAAATTCAAATCGAACATTCCTGGCTGTAGTAGGTGCGTACGAGTTTTATGATTTGTATGGTCGGCTCATATGCGAATTTTCATAAATTCACCGTTTTTTATGGGATCTCATATATATGCAAGATTGGCTAATATGTGAGGATATACGGTATATCTATTTCTGCATAACTATCAATAATTCCTGATCAGCAAAAACTCTTTGTCATTTCAGAACGAAGAACAAGTAGAAGAAATCTTGAAACTGAACGGACCGGAATTGTTGGAAAAATTACAAAGCAGAGAAATAGAACCGACAGATGCTCTGAATGCTTATATCTACAAGGTATCGCATTTTTAAAATCAATCAAACCGTTTATGACGTCACATGTAGTTTTGCTCCGGAGATGAACAAAGCTTCCGCCCAAGTAAACTCGCTTTAAAACATACACTTAGTCGCGCGATAGTCACCAATGTTTTAACTTTCAATAAGGAAAATTCCATCAAATGGTGGACTATGGTATCTTATCCGGCCAGGTGCTAGCAGTATGTTCCCCGCATTTTAGGGAGAGTGTTCACCGCGCATTTTCATCCATCAAATCTGGTGAACGGATTATTGATAGCAAGTCAGGAAATAGCAAAATGGTGTTGAACAAAGGCGCATGAATTTATGTCTCATAGCAAAATTGCATGACTACGCCTATGGATAGAGCGAAATAACCGACCAGAGCTGAGGAACTACCAGCGGCATTATAAGCAACCAATCTGTTACACATAATAATAATACCCCATGGGTATCAACAGTGCGATATCTAGAGTATTTCTGTTACTTGGCATCGTTAGAAATCTTGTGTACATAACAATTCCCCATGAGATTCCAATCCACGCATCAGCGTTGCGATATCTATATTATAGTTAATGCATGGCTTACTGTTGAGTACGGATTAAACCTTAATTTGACACATAGAGAAATTTTATTGGCAGTAGGCAAAACCAAGATATAAATTGTGTTTTATTATGTGCCATATTTTTCATATACAAAGGTTAATTTCGTAATGAAAGGCCTCAATTTTGTCAATTTTTATATATAATGAAAATATTCTGTGAAAAAACTAACATGAGGTTCAAAAAATCTATATTATGTCCCTGGCTTGGCACGGGCGATCCATGACACATATATAATGCTGGAATTTCCACATTTTTACTACTTGCATTTCAATACAGGCTTGCAAAGTGACGGGAGATATCAACTGCATAACAGAAGTGCTTAAAGACTGCGAGGAAGTCGCTCGAGAAGTTTCAACAAAAAATCCGAAGGATCTGCCTTTGTACGGGATTCCAGTCAGTTTGAAAGAATGTATGAAAACCAAGGTTTGTGATTGAGATATGACTGCACAGGGGGTCCGCAACGATATGAAAGAGTCTGACCGATCTTCAATGATTAATTTCAATCAAAAAACATTACATCTTTTTGGTTGAGCGTTGCGAACGAATATTCATTTCTGTCAGAAAAGGCAATTAAAATTTTATTGCCTTTTGCAACGACCTACATGTTTGAGGAACTATCTTCAGTTCTTACTAATATGATGACAAATTACAGGCCGAGACTTGCAGTAGAGTCGAATCTACGAGTTTGGTTGCCACAAATTGCTTCGAGAATCGATGAATTGGACAGTTAAACACAACCTGATCCATCACATTAATGTCGTTTACTAAGATTTCGATTGCGTTTCGAATGTATTTAAAGTCGTCTTAATATTTCCACTCTTCATACTTGGTGTGGATATATATGGTAAAATGAAGGATGAACGGTTTAAAAGATATAAAAGTTCAATAAAATTATCACGGAATATATCAGTTATAAACACCACGATTCATGATAAAAATAACACAAGTTAAAGTTCGATACTGGATCGAAAATCATCAGCAAACGAAAAATATAATGTTTTTGAGAAATCAACACTTTCAGTTGTTGCGTGTGCGAAGCCTCGTTCAGTGCGGGGCTAGTCACTTCACATAAACTACGATTGAATGAACTGGGTGTCAGACAAAAACATCAATGTTTCTCGGTGTCCAATTTTTTTTTATATAATGACGTCATACGAAGCTTTCACCTCGAACAAGACTGGATAAAAGCAGCCCTCGCTATCTAACAATATCTCAAAGAATCTTTCCCCAGACTTACTTCGCAGTCGTATTCTAAGGTTACAAGAGCGCGTTTTCATTTATCCCGGTCTGATTATCGATAGCAAGCCAGAAAAGGTCAGTTTTTTAATAAAATGGTGTTGCAAAAGGCGTAAGCATTTATGTCACGCCGCAAAATTGCATTTGAAAAAAATTACATTTTTGGGGCTCCCCGTCTACGCCTATGTTCGGCATTGCAACCCCAATTAATGAAACTCTGGGTTTAATCTACGATGCCAAGACAGTCGGGTTCAATGTTTTAACTTAATAAGCCACTGCGCCACCGAAAACTATGGCTAAAAAATATTCATAGAGCTTTGTAACTCTTTAGTGAAAAGATCCTGCACTTGTACGGCATTTGTTTTCATTTCTTTCTATGTATTATACAGGGAACTCCAAGCTGTGTAGGTCTGGCAATGTACCTCGATCAAATACCAACCGAGGATCTGGTTCTGGCAAAAGTATTGAAGCAATGTGGGGCGGTACCGTTTGTGAAAACGAATACTGTGCAAATCATGCTCAGGCAGGTTCAGTTTGTTTAATTCACGTGAGATTACCATTCTGGCTTACCATTAAGACGTTGTAGCATAGGCCTTCATTTTGATTGCTTTTTTTGCGGCATTTGCAGTGAGGCATAAATTCGGGCGCTCCAAAAGTATGTGTACCAACATCGAGGTAACTAACTTTGTTCGGCTACTTTACATCAAGTTGTGTAAAGGGACTGAAACCTATAGACAGGGGGTATATTCATTTGGCTAATACAGACAGTCCCGAACTCGTAATATAACTAAAATAGGGAAATTGGAACTAAAAAGAGGAAAATAAAATTATGGCCTAACCCTAACCTGGTAAACACACTGCGTGATAATCTAAATTCGTACGTCTTTTTTAATACCATTTTACTCTATTTTTGAACGATTTACCGAGTACTCGACGTTACCTGGCTTGCTATCAATAATCCTTTGTTCCAATGAACCAACCGAGATCGATGAAAAGGCGCGCCCATATAGCTTGGATAACTTCGACAGCGAAGTAAGTCAGGAGAGAGATTCTTTAGGATATTGTTAGACATCAGTTGCTACTTTTATGTAGCCTTGTTCGAAACAAAATGAAGGCACGAGTAAGCGTTGTATTACTTCATATTACAAAATTAACCTCCACCTCCCCAATTTTGGCCTGGCTACGATTATACGCAGTGGTCTAGTGATTGAAGCTTGGCTGGTTAGTTACATATCAGTGGATGCTTGAACCTGTTCTTGTTCGGAGCGAAAGGCGCGAATGAGAGACGAATAAACATCGCCACCTTGAAAATGAGATCGTCTGTTCGCGTTGATAACTAAAAATTTTTTTTTCTTCATATTTATATCTGAAAAGCTTAAGTCCATATCTTTGCAGTTAAAGTTTGTAAGCCTTCTATAATTCAGGTTGGGAATGTCTGGTACTACCGTGTTTCCCGAGGGCCCTATTTCAACTTTTTTCCGAAAAATACCATCGTATGTATTTTTTTTCATTCATCACAAACAAAATTACAAAGTATAGAATAACGGGATTTTCAAATTTACAAAAATGGAATCGTGGCGTGATCTTCACGTTACCTCAGGTCATTGAACCTTTTCCTCTTTCACACGTTTTAGATTAATCATTTCAATTTTAAAGTTTCTTGCTATCGAATAGGTCAAAAAAAGTTGCGCTATCGACTTGGTCTTATTTTAATGGGAAGTATTATATTAAAATCATTTTCAAAACACGGTATTTGTCTATTTTAAAATAGTTTTAAATTCTAGAATCCTGCTATGCAATAATTGTTAATTAACGTATATTTTAACCTATTCACTAAGCCGGAAAATCGCAGTATCATGTAAAATTAATCCCGTGTCACTTCGTAATTTGTGTTTTAAATTGCCAAATTTGCTGCCATTAGCCAGTATATTCGTTTGAAAACGACCAGTCAATCCTGCCTTATTACTGAACTAATTTCTAATGAATAACCAATATTGAACAGCATACTGGACCAATTTCTAAGACACTGTTTCGATATCGGTAGCTGCTTGTACAGTACCGAAAGACGTAATTGATAATTTTAAAAATATTGACCTTCCGAAATTCGTTGGTTACTTGAGGCAAGGAATGCGTGATTGGAACATTTTTTATAATACAAAATGTCTAATTGCCAACTTTTGAAATCGTATATACTATAACGTACACATTATTACGTTACTTAGAACCTCATTTAACTAATTTCTAATGAATAACCAACTCCACCATTCTTTCTACACAGCATTGAATTGAGCAACCCCATTTTACAGCGAGGCCACAAACCCTCTGTATAAAAGTGTCTTTTTGTCCTGAAGTTGTCCATTTGCGTTGTGCTGGTAGTTCGGCACACACATTGTTAGCTATCAGTGGATGTCCTTATTCGGAGCGCAAAAGCTTAGTATGAAAATCGTCTTGTTGGGTTTCCCATTCACGTTAGTTACTTGCAATAGGGATTACTAGATTGGAACATTATTAGACGAGATTTTTAATTGCGGTTTTCTTTTGGAAAACTATAATTATATACACACATTGTGAGCCATCAGGGGCCAAAAATTTTGCCCACCTAGACTGGCGGGCCATGTAAGTGTGACGTAAAAAGTTAAATTTCATGAACAATATTTACTGTGTTATAAAAGCAAAAGTGAAACACAATAAGACTAGTGTCAAAACTAAATTTGATCGCAAACTCAACAAATTCTTCGAGCAATTTTTTAGCTAAAACATCAAAATATGTTCTTAGTTTGGTTGTGGCAGCATCAGGCGAGCCGTGGTTTGTCCATGTCAGTAATGTAACAGAATATTGAACCAGTTTCTAAGACCCCGGTCTTTTAGATATTAGTGGCTGCCTGTACGAGAACAAAAGGCGTGAATGGTAGTTTTAAAAAATGGGCTTTCCGCGATCCGTTGGTTACTTTGGGGTAAGGAATGCGTGATTGGAACTTTTTAAGACAAAATGTATAATCGCGGACTTTTTGAATATATAACGTACACATTATTAGCTATATAGACCCGGAAGGGTGCCCCCGTAGTGTGTGTACCAGGGGTATCCAGGCCGGATAGCGACTGTCATAATGGCGACTTCATAATAGCGACGTAATCAAGCGAGCGACTGTCAAAACAGCCACTGTCATAATGGCGACCGCATTAAAACAGCGACTGTTATGATAGCGTTAGGCTTAGTCCAAATAAAATGTTGTTTTAAAGTCCTATTTGGTTTCAATCTTTCACTACGCAGTGTTTGCCTGTTTGTGCGTGCATACGTGTGTAGCGAGGTCCCTAACCCTAACACGAGTTAAGCCGCTAATATGATAGTCGCTGTTTTAATGCGGTCGCCATTATGACAGTCACTGTTTTGACAGTCGCCCACTTGATTACGTCGCTATTATGAAGTCGCCATCATGACAGTCGCTGTCCTGAGACTCGCTATTTGGAACCCGAGCCGTACCAGGTTAGGCCATAATTTTATTCCGATTTTCCTTATTTTAGTTCTATGATGAAATCGGGGACTGTCTGTGTTAGACAAGTGAATGTACCCTCTGCCCACAGGTTTCAGTCCCTTTACGGCTTTACGCAACTCGATGTAAAATAGACAAACAAAATTAGTTACCTCCATATCAGTTACGCACACTTCTGAAGTACCCTTGAAAGTACAATTAACTAATTTCTAAGGAATAATAAATAACACCATCATTCTTTTCATGCAGCATTGAATCGAGCAACCCGATTTACGGCGAAACTTCAAACCCATTGAATCACGAATTCTCTCCGGCGGGTTCATCATCTGGTGAAGGTGCAATTGTTGGAGCCGGTGCCTCTGTTCTAGGATTTGGATCGGACATTGCCGGCAGTATCCGAGTTCCGGCTCATTTTTGTGGAATTTGTGGATTCAAACCTACAAAGTATCGTATAAGTTCGTCAGGAATGATTTGTAAGTATATGACCCAAGGTTTATTTACTTAACGAATTAATTTTCAGTCTATTTTGTGAGACATAACGCGTCACCAAAATTCTGTGCGGTTACTATGACTCATAGGTTTTCAATGGACATTCGTTGGTAAAGATTCTTTTAACATCTACTAGTTCATGCAGTTCCCAACCGGGGGCCCATGGCCTCCTAAGGGGACCACAGAGCAGTTGGATGGGGCCATAATGCTCGGCGCAAAACTGATTTTACTTTTCCCTTTACAAGAAAACATCCAGTTTTTCCTGGCTCATTGCTTGATTAGGATATTTCAAAGGGTATTTTCACTTTGTTGAGCATGAATTGTTTGAACATAATGGGCAAATTTGAAATACACCAATCCTAATAACACTCTAAACACCACGGGAATGATAAACAGGCGGGCCATGAGTACCTAGAGCCTTCGGTAGGGGGGCACAGGCTATAAGAGGTTGAATCAGTGCACTAGTCAATTAGTTTTATGCGCTCCTCCGCCATTAATTTACCAGTTCATGTTTTTTTCTGGCCTTATTAACTTCACTAGATTAGACTGTTTGAAGCTCACAATGTAAAACCATAATTCTATATGGTCTCTTCGCGCTTTGTGAATTATTAGAGTTTTCTTGCATATAATTCTCATATTACAAGTCCAGCCCATTTAATGGGGCATAACGCGCCACCATGATTCTGGTTGCAAAGACTCTTGACTTTTTAGTGGTCGATTGTTGCAGTGTTGGACAAATTACGGCCCGCGGGCCAGATCCGGCCAACCGAAGTGTTTTATCCAGCCCATTTGTGCCTGTAGAAATTACGGCAATAGTCGGCTAAAATATGGAACGTAATTCCCGACGTATTATGTGCCCCTGAATATATTGTGCCGTTTGGTCGATATCTGTTTGTTGTACAATAGCTATTACGCTAGTTATTTGTCAATGAACTGTATTTATTCAGAGTCTCATGTTGAGTTTTGGAGTTTTCAGCATCCGACTCAGTAACCAAGTCTATTATCTGTAACTGGCTCACTCAGAAATGTAAATGCCCATCCCTGCGCTACAGCCTCTTCTAACATATAACTAAGACAATCATCTGGAGCATTTCAATATTTATATACCCGACCTGAATTAAACCGCCACATCGGCTCGACTTTCTCCTGTGATAAAGTTTCCACCAAGCCTAGATTAGAGAACTAAAGAGAGTATTTCTTTTGGTCATGCGATTTCTTTGTTTTATAGGCTTGCCACTCACGAATAAATACAAAAATGGACCTCCTGAAGTATGCACACCAAGATGGCGCACAACCTTAACTCAGGTTGTGTACCAGGTTAGAGTTCAGGTTGTGCGACATCTTGGTGCGCATACTTCAGGAGTACCAAAGTTCTTTCTATTGTTCTCAGGGTCGTTGATGGGACAGAACGCTGTTGCATCAACGCTCGGACCTATGGCACGTGATGTTGACACAATTGTCATGGCAATGCGAGCCTTGTTGTGCGACACAATGTTTCAATTGGATAAGAATGTTCCTCCGATCAAGTTCAATGAGGAGGTAGTGTAATGAGAATATTTGCATTTCATCCAACATATTCAATTTTTTGTCGCCAGTTTAGGATTTCTCAAAATTTATCCAACCAAAAGAAAATTGATAAGAGAGTTTGACCATATTAATAGCATATTAATTTTATGAAAATTTCAATTCACTATACTTATGCTATTTCATTATTATATTTAGGGAGACGATTAGCGATAAGACAGTCGAGTAATATTTACTTCTATGTCTCTTTTGAGCATGTGGTCAATTTAGATTAGAATTTTACATATTCTGATAAATCATTTCACAGTGTATCTTTTTTTATGTAACTTTTCCACATCTTTTTATACGATTTATTTATGCGCAATCGCTCCGAACAAGGCTCTTCACACGCAGCAATTGCTAGGCGAGTAGCTAGGTACTTTATTACTTATCGATCTCGATCGGTAAGTTTGTTGATAGGTATTTGCCTGTTTGTCTGTCTGTTAGACACTTTTGTATGTTACGCGATATCTTACGAAAGCGGGGTTCCTCCAAATTTTGTATGTGCATTCATCCTATCTCAGACCAGAAGGCTATTGATTTTGGATGAATGATGTCATATAATTAGCGAGTTGATGATTAATTAGTGACGGGACACGCGGTGTCGCTATTGAGACAGAGCGAAGGAATCGAAACGCAGTTTTTATTTTGGGGGATCCCCTAACCTTCTTTGCTGCGAACGAAAGATAAGTCGGCGGTCTCCGATCGCCATCTAGTTTCGGGGTTCAGCATTGCAATCTATTTCACCCTGAATGAAGGGGTGGGGATGGGATCAATTCTCAAAATGGTACGTTTTCTTATACTACATTTTCACGCAAGTTCAACGCTCTGTTTATGTCCAGTTTACGCATTTTAAAATATGATTATCCACCACGTAATACATTTAATCTAACCCAGCTTTGTATCTTTGCGCGATAAGATTTTTGAGACAAATAACACAAACGCGACTGCCGGTTCTAATATATTCAACTTACTATGATCTATCCGCCAGCTATTACATATAATTCAATCCAGCTCTACAATTCTAAAACCCCGCTGAGAATTGGTTACTACATGGACGATGGCTACATGAAACCGGTACCAGCATGTCAGCGAGCTGTTAGGATGACAAAGGAAGCATTGCAAAGTGCTGGCCATACTTTGGTACCGTTTGAAATACCAGATATTGAAGAACTGATGGAAATGACTACTAGAGGTAGGTGAAGTAATCACATAACATTACTTCTTATTAGGTACGAAGTGGAGCGTTTTGTTATCATGTCGTTGTTGTTCTTGTTAGTCATCACTTTTTCATTAACTAATGGGCCAATTGCTTTGAAATTTTCAGTGAAATTTTTCCCTGTCCAGCAGCCATCTACAAGCAGGAGTTTTTTTTAATGAGTCTTAACCGATGTAAAACGTCGAAGATAAATAAAGCACACCGGTGTATAGCAAAACGATGTAATTTGCCGACGTTTCAGGCATGATATGGAAAGCACACTATCGTAAAACAAGAAACACGGCGTGAAAATCTAAAAAGAGGGATTATATGATAATAGATCTAAGTGAATTAGCGCAAGTTTAAACAAATATAGGGACTACCTAAACAATGACTTATGACAGTTGGGAACAAGGTAGTTTCTTTATCTTTAATGGAATTATTCTCTTTGTTAATGTGGTATTATTCGAGATATAGTATTTTCCTGTAGTGGGTACACCGGTTGTGCTTTATTTATCTTCGAAATTTATCTCAGACATGGAAATCATGCGCTACTACGACGTATATATATATATATATATATATTATTTTTAAATTGTAAAATTCACCATTGGCTTCAGCTTTTTATGTCGACGGGGGACGCGGCAATATCGAACGAACAAAATATGATATTGTCGACAAACGTCTCCTTCCGTCATGGCGAAGATGGAGCATGCCTTCGATAGTTATGAAATTATATTCAATGTACCTGGACTTATTCGAGGTGAAATTTAGGTTCAAATAAGCTTTATTCCTACTTCAATATCAGCATAACGAACTATAAAGTAATAATAATGATTGCGATTACTGAACTCCTTACCGTTGTAGAGTGGTCCACAAAGACACTGGTCGGTTAGGGTTTCCTCCACCATCAACTCCTTGCATATGAAACAAATAACTGGCTAACTAATCCTATACTCCACATGGACTGGCAACTGGACGAGAGGCCGTAGTTCGTCATATGATTGAGCAATTTTACGATTCCCTTTGCCTGGGATAAATATCTATTCGGCATTTTTCTGTCCTCCAAGATAAATTTTAAAATCCTAAGTGTGAAACGTATTGAACGCTAGGACGGCTTAATCATATGGCGAACCATGGCCTCTCTTCCAGTTACCAGTCCATGTCGAGTATGGGATTAGTTTGCGAGTTACTTGATTTCAGATGCATTGTTTTGGTCAGCGGTTACGTGAACCACCCTACGGCGTCCAGCACTCCTCTCGCACATTATTAACCTCGCATGGGATTCGAACCCACGCAGGGTAATCAGAGGTGGGATGGCGAGCGTATTCCTAACGCCTAGCACAATGCGCCACATGTTTCGTTCATTTCTCAGACTCTTCGTCTTGATTTTCTCTGTGTTTTGTTTTATTTTTGTGAAAAATTTGAAATAAAATCTATCAACTGTTACAGTCTTCTCGAATGGCCAAAGACCTGTTAGCTTATGGAGGAGGCGACAAATCGGCGCATAATCTTTGGAAACTGACAGCTTGGATAGATGGGTATAAAATGAAATTCTGGACTGAATGGAGAGAAAAGTACAAACTTGATGCTTTGATCTGCCCTGTTCATCCTCTTGTCGCTTGTCCTAAAGGAATGGTAACAAACATGACAGGTTGGTAAGAAGTTGTTTCTATTTCAGTATTTTTTTTTTTTCAATGTTGCCCTAGTATTTAATATGGCGCTGCAGAAGTGTGTACCAATATGGAGATAACAAATTTTGTTCGCCTATTTTACATCAAGTTGTGTAAAGGGACAGAAACATACGGGCATATTCACTTGGCTAACAAAGACAGTCTCCGAACTCGTAATAGAACTAAAGAGAAAATTGGAAGAAAATTATACCCCAACCCTAACCTGGTACACATACTACGGCAGTACCTTTCTTTCACCCAATGCTGCCCTATTATTCATTATACAGTAGAAACTCTAGCCACTTCTTAAGAAATGCGCTATATCCGAAAAATCCAATTTACGAAAATTCAGTATATATGTAGAAATATTGCTTCGACTAACGTAAGATTTTTACATAAAGAATGCTGAAAACTTGAGAAGCGCGTGTAATGATATTTGCCTTTCTTATATTAATTTAATGCAGTGCAGGAAGTCGTAAATATTCATTCCGTTATAATTTACAATAATTCTTCAAAAGTAGAAGAGTTCATACAAGAAACTCAGTAGTCTGATAGTTGTATATGCCTGTCGAAAAAGGTTTTCAAATTGTATTTTTTTGCAACAACCAGGTAAAAAGTTTCTGCACAAATATCGTTTTCTACATTTACCAATAGTTTAATAATCTTTCGTTAAAGTAATATTTTTCAGATTTATCAATTGTATAGAGCTTAGGTGATACACTTCCCTGATCCTGCAGCGAACGAACGTGTATTACAAGTGTCGTTTGCTTCATTTGCCAAAAGCATGTAGAGTATGATAGGATTTACATATTCGACCAGGGGAGCGTAAAGCCGATAAGACGGCTTATTCATATGGCGAACCACGACCTCTCGTCCAGTTACCAGTCCATGTCGGATATGAAATTAGTTAGACATTTATTTGTCTCATTCGATGAATCTACCAAAAGCATGTAGTTCATGTAATGGAGTATTTGGCCAATTAGAAACATTCCGGGTAGAAAGGCAAAACTAACCGTATATCAATAGAAGGTCGACCACCATTTTTTGTGTGATTCTAACCTGCGAACCCACATGGTAACTAGTGATTACGATTGTGGGCTTATATTTATGCAGTCGCAAAATTATTTCGATTTACTTGAAGTTTTGATTGAGACTTCAGACTTGGGTATGTTTGCAAAAACGAAAAACATGAACATCAAATAGACTTATTCTATATCACTACATAAATAATACACCCTGGTCCTATTATGTAAGTTTATATCTTATAGCGAATATGAGCTACTCAACTGCCTTTACCGTTACCAACTGTCCTGCTGGCGTGGTCCCTGTTACAACGGTCAACCAGAAAGACATAGAGGAATTGAAAACGCACAAAGGCCATTATGGTGACCAATGGGATCGTCATTGCGTAAAGGTTTAATAGTTAATCTTACTTACATAAATGTTTGTTTACTTCGTTAGATTTAAGACTATATAAAGATTGTATCTCGGCAACCGGCGAAATTTGATAGGCGTCAGAAATTTGCTTGCTACCGCACCACTGATTACCCTGCGTGGGTTCGCAGAATAGATCCCATGACAGATAATTATGAGCGATAGGATTGCTGGATTCCTCCCCATCTTAGGGTGGTTTACGTAGCCGCTGTTCAGTTGTGGCTTTCTCCATTAAGTCTGGTAACTGGATAATCTGAATGGCGTATCTGAAATAAATAATTGGCTAACTATTCCCTTACCCGACATGGACTCGTAAAAGAGCAAAAGGCTGTTGTTTGCCATACGATTAAGTCAAATATTGGCTTTCCTCCCTCATAGAATAAATATAAAAATTTTATCTTACCCTACCTACGAAATTAATAGCAACCACGAGCTCCCCTATTTTCACGCAGGCATATCGTAGAGTGGGCAACGCCACTCTTATCTATAGAGAGTGCTTCGATTCAAAATGTTAAGAACCGGCTCTTTCTTGTATCGGACTCACTAACAACAGGTTCCAATATTTTGAAAATTCATGCCGAACTTTTCACTCCTAACTGTACATCATATGGCGCTCTAGAAGTGTGTGTACCAATAAAGAGGTAACGAATTTTGTTTGCCTACTTTACATCAAGTTGTGTGAAGGGGCGGAAACCTATGGACAGAGGGATATTCACTTGGCTAACACAGACAGTTCCCGAGTTCGCAATAGTACTAAAATAAGGAAAACCGGAATAAAGTTATGGTCTAAGCCTAACCTGGTACACATACTACGAGAGTACCCATCATATTTGTTACATTTAAGTTACATTAACATGACTCGTTTTAAATAAATCTAATACATAACTTTCGAAGCGCAAAATATATATAACTCCAATCGTTCAGGTCATGGGTTCGCTTATTATCACAATATTCCATCAACTCCTGAATCCCACAACCGAGTATAAAGTTTATGCAGCCACTCGCTACAAGCTGGGCTCTGGACGTTGGCTAATGAGATCATAGACGTTTAGGGGCCCTCCTGAAGTATGCGCACCAAGATGATGCACAACCTGAACTCAGGTCGTGTACCAGGTTAGGGTTCAGGTTGTGCGACATCTTAGTGCGCATAGCCTACTTCAGGAGTACCCGTTTAGGAGTATACAAGGGAAAAGGTACTCAACATTTCTAAGACATCGCGCTTATTTTGCGTTCATTTAATTAACACGTTGATTTGTTGTACACGGCTCGCAAACCAAGTCGTCACGATATCGCTACATCCAAGCTTACTTGTCTCAAAACACATTACTTGGGAGATTAAATTTCTCCCTAATCACAAATTTTCTGTATTTCGACTTTCCAGGCTTGTATGGGAAGCATCAACATGCCAGTGGGAGTGCAATGCGTTTCAGAACCTTGGCAAGAAGAAGTCTGTCTCAGATTGATGAAAGAAGTAGAGACACTGCTCCCGATGTAGACAGCACATCCATCGAAAAAAAAAGGAATTATTTTTCAATAATATTGTTTATGTTATTGCAATCATGTAATATAGGAATTCGGGTCACAAATAGTTTTCACGTGTTGGGATTGATATGTCGCCGTCATTGGGTGTCGTGGTGTGGGATTGTAAAGTCCACGGAAACAGTATAGAAGAGAATTTATAGTGGGTGAAACTAGAGTAAAACAGGAGGGGCTTTTGCCTCGTTAACTTTTACAGGGTTTTTAGTCCGATTAGAGACTCTGAGCCAAGAGCCAAACCCAAATTTTTGAGAAAAGCCAAATTTTTTTTGTATAATAGCATAATACGACACTCATTACTTATCGATCTTATGATCGGTAAGTATGTTGATAGGTATTTGTCTGTTTGTCTGTTAGATGAACGCGATATCTCAAGAAGGCGAGGTTGAAACTGCTCCTGCATGTGCATTCATCATATCTCGGACCAGAAGCCTATTGATTTTGAATGAATAAGTCGTATAATTGGCGAGGTAAAAATTAATTAGTTATGGGACACGTGGTGTCACTATAGAGCCATGATTCAGAACCGCAGTTTCGATCGTCAAGTTTTCGGTCTACGACCGATATTCTCGTTTGTTCTTTTTCTCCAAACTAAGCCAGATAAAAGTAGGCACTGATATCTAACAACATTCGCACTACAGACGTAATTCGCTGTCGAAGTTATCCACGGCGCGCATTTAAACCTATCTCGTTTGGTTCACTTGGTGAATGAATTATTAATAGCAAGCGAGGAAACTTTCGTTTCAGAATAGAGCAAAATGGTTTTTGAAAAGGCGTATGAATTTATGCTTCACTTCAAATACCGCAAAATTTCATTAAAAAAAATGGCTGATCATTGTTGATTGACAATTGATCTCTTAAAAAAACACTGATTTAGGGTTTGTTTAATAGTTTCCATTGACTTTGGCACGATGGAAATAAATACCTGGATGTGAACACGAATCTTTGTTCACGCAACACTTTGCTTTGAGAAAACTGGCATCAAAATTTACGTGTCGGAGTTTTAATGATTGGCTAGGACGAAAGAAATTCGTATCTTAAACCAGCCTGCTTCCATTGCTGAAACACTGAATGTAGGCCAATATATCAGCGTGTGGTTTATGTTTGAATCTCGCGAAAGAAAAACACAAAATACCGTGTTTCCCCGAAGATAAGACCTAGCCTGAATTTTAAAAAATATTTTAATATTAGCCCACCCTAACAATGCGACCTGGTCGATGGCGCAAATTTTTTTTTGAGTAAAAACGTGTTATTTATAGGTTAATGAGTATCAGTTTTCATATATTTTGTGTATTTGAAAATCTCGTAATTCTCTACTTTGTAATTCCGTTTTTGATAAAGGAAAATAAAAAACATCCCTCCAAAATAAGCCCTAGTGTTATTTTTCGAAATAGATTGAAATAATACCCTGTCTTGTTTTTGTTGAAATACGGTATGAGAGATATAATGGTGGTTTAAGCCAGTATTTCCCAACTCATTTTCTTGGGCCGCTTATTTTTCAACAAAAACTTAAAAGCTACTAATTTTATTTTCTAGTAATTACTTATCGATTTTAATCGGTAAGAGATTGAACGAAAACGAGATTGAATCTGCTCTGGATTTTTCATGTGCATTCATCATATCGCGGACCAGAAGCCTATTGATTTTGGGCGAATTATGTCGTGGATTTAGCGAGTTATTAATTAATTAGTGATGGGACACAAGGTGTCACTATGGAGTAAGAGCGCTTTTTTTGGGGATTCCCCTAACTTTTGATCGATAAGTCCTCGGTCTCTGACCGATATTCTCGTTTTAATTGTTTATTATAAATTGGTATTATAGTGTTGTTCTATAGTAACTGTATACGTAGCACCTTATCACTTTGGGGTAATAAATATTATTTAAATATGATTGTTTTATATTAGTCATTAAAATTGCGGCCCTAAAAGTTCGATATTTTGTTTGAAAAGGCGCCCACATGGGTGAAAACACAATGATTTCTGCCCTCGTCACAGTGGTAACTTCTTCGCTGTTTTTACCACTGGATTCTCTTCTATTACTTTTCCCGCTGAGCTCTGGTGGTCCTTGATTTTTTAATTCGTTGCGCACATGTGAACTATTCTTTTGTGGCCCAGCTGGATTTCCTAATGGGGTGAAAAAATGTTGCACACCCCTATCCCAACATATCGTTAGATATTATAGCGAACATAGCTACTTCTTTCAACAATACCTTTCAATCTAAACTTGTACGTTCTAAACCTTCTTGAGGTTTTGCTTGCTCTCCCGATTCTATAATCAGTTTCATTCATTATTTATCAAATATTTTATCGTCTATTCTCCTGATTATGGAGTCGAAATAAACTTGCACCGGTAGCCTGCTTAAACAAGGTCTTGTTAGGAGGGAAGTGCGTGAATAAGCGTCATACATTGACCTCAATGCTTCCCCAAAAATCCAATACAGAGAATATAAATTGACAAATCAAAGATAGAAGTCTTCAATAAAACGAAAGAACTGATAAAAGAAATAAAAATAATTGGCAGTGAATTAGAGTGTGATTGAATAGGATTCTAGATATTTCCCAGATAAAGCAAAAATGACTCAGCCATATGGCACACAGCACATTTTCTTGTCTGGTTACAAGTGCAAATCAAAATTTGTTTAGAACATGATCGTCTACAAATTCAATTCCAAGAAAATGGATTGGTTTTCAACTTTTCCCCTTATAAAGGAGGGAAATTAAGACGATTAGGTAATATAGTGAACTATAGTGAGTTATAAATCCACGTTGGTATAAAAATCAGGAATACAGAAAACTTTGGATTTGGATAATATAAAGCACAAATTCTTAAACCAGTGGGGCCACAAACAGATTGCTAAATTTAGTTTTATTTATGTCACCATACTTAAATTTTAATTGTAGTGACAACAAACGATCATACTGTTTTTGTTACTGAAGGGTAATTTTTATTCTAATTAATAAAGTGAAAGAGTCTATTGTTGAGGACATAGTTTTCTGCTTTTATTGTAGTTTTTCCATTGCATGAAAATGTTAATAGGCCAGAGAATTTTTGTGCAATGAAAATAGGCCACGAAAGAAAGATTGAGAACCACTGGCATCGAAGAAGTCGTAATTATGTGATACCACAGTTTCTTAACCCTGGTCCCCATCAATCCCTAAGCCAGGGTGGTCCAAACCCAGGCCCGCGTCACATTCGGAGAGTAATTAATAAATCGCATTTCGTGTTGTTTCGTCATCAAATTAATCAAAAAAACCTTTTGACATATCGTTACATCACTTATGTCACTGAATTGACTAGTGTTATGGCTATCTGAGGCAAATAGCGAATTGAATGATGTGCTTGGCAGTCTAAATTATAAGCTGGCGTTCCATCTTTTTGGTCGGTAATATATGCTAATCGAATGCGGATTCTAATAGCCTGTGATGGCTATGTCCGATAAATATGTGTTTGCACAATAAAAGCGTTTGTTTTGTATTGCTCTGTTTACCTATTCTTGGCACTATTGTGGCCCGCGAACAATGAAAAAATAAATTTGTGGCCCGCGGAGCCGACAACCTTGGACCACCATGCCCTAAGCTATTCAAAGTGGATCGCAAAGTATTTCCAAATGTTACATATAGTTTTCAAATAGTTCAGGCATTATTATTACGTAACAATTAGAATTATGCATCATTATCAGGCTTGGATATGGAAATATCCAATATGCAAGATCAAGTTTCGCATTAAAAGTAAATTGCATGGGGATGCATTGTTTCTTTTCTCATTTATTAACGACTCATTGTGGTTTGCACAGCAAAAATGGCAATAAAAGTGGGTCGTGAACTGAAAAAGTTTCAGAAGCACTGAATTACAGTAAGCTTATATTGTTTTAAAATTGTCTTTAAATTAACGAGAACTACCAAGTAAAATTTTTTGAGGTAATCAAACTGTAGGTATGTTCCATTGCTTGAGCGCAGATAAGTGACACACATGACTTTTTCCTACAAACTGGACAAGGTTTTAAAGTGTCAGTAGTTTTGGGAGATTCCTTGACACTTCCATTGCAAAAAGTTAATTCTTGTGAGCTGTCTGTATCTTGGGCAAACTCATTTACATCTTGGTCAGATTCTGCGATCTTTGATAAATCCAACTGGCCATCTTCTACATCATCAGCAGAATTATAGGAAAGCTTCGGCAATTGAAGAGTCTTTTTACATAAAGCACAAGAACAGTAATCTCTGATGATCTTTCCCATCTTTGCTGACTCGACACCCAAATTTGAATCTTGGCTTTCACAAGCACTTGTTTCATCATCGTCTAAATTAGAGTTGCATGTGGATCCAACCTCTCTTACGTCTTCGACAGCATCCAAATCAACGCTAGCTATATCTGAACTTGAAATAGCTATGTAAAAATCAGCATTGTAACTGCTTAAGTTCTTTTTAAAAGTTTGTGAACCGGAAGTGTTTTCTGAATTTGAAGAAGAAATTTTGGCGTCCAGATCGACATTGTGAGTAATTGATTTTTCACTTTCATTCCGCGAACTTTCAATGTTCAAGTTATTTTTGACAGAATCTGGTACTACAGTATTCTGAGTGCTGGAATAAGTCTTGTCAGGGTTTGCCAAAGAATCTATATTATTACAAAGCTCCATTTCATGGAACTTGCTATCTGCATCGCCAAAAGATCGTTCAATTACAAATGTGGATTCCCTTCCCAGTTCCAATGACTTGACATTTTTTGTATCACTAGGTTCTTCCTCCCTGCATGATTTGGCATCTTTGGCACTGGTCTTGTTTTCAGAGCGATTTTTCCTGGTTTTACTTTGTTTTGACCGTTTTTTGATTTTATGAAAGTGTTTCTTATGCTTTTTTAGTCGTGATTTCTTAGCAAAAGTAAGATTGCAATGTTTACAATTGAAATAAACCTGTTCATTTTCAGGGTGAACATTCATTGTGTGCTTCCGAAACTTCGAGTAAGTTGAAAAACGTTTCTTGCACTTTTCGCAATGGAATGGTTGCACTTTCGCTAAATGAACCTTTTCCATATGCTGTTTCAGAATTTTTGTTTTGCGAAACCGCTTTCCACATGCAATACAAATATGTTTTTTACGTTTTTTCTTTCTAATATTAAGTGGAATAGTCGGTAATTCAGGGGTATCGGATAAGATATGATTGGCTGGCTCACGTTGGTCAGAGTTTAAAATATTGCACACAGATTCACTGGCCGAATCTTCATTGCCATCTGTGTTGCTAAAAATCTGGTTTTGACTGGATATATCCGACTCTAACCCGTCATCTGTGTGCCATTGCTCTTTGTTGCATACATTTTCACTGGTTACTTCTTCATTTTCATCTGCTTCCCTCAAATTCTGGTCTAGACCAGTTATATCTGGTTCTAACTTGTCGACAGTGAATAGTTGTCTTTTAGTAGCAGCATTAGAATCTTTGTTGCATACTGGTTCACTAGTTACTTCTTCATTTTCATCTGCTTCCCTCAAATTCTGATTTTGACTGGTTCTATCTGACTTTAACCAGTCTAGGAGCAGTTGCTTTTTGGTAGCAGCATTGCGGTCTTTACGCTGAGGTCGTAAAGCAATAACAGGGCTATTGTCTGAACAATTAAAGTCAGAAGACTCATCTTGATGTATACAAGGTTCATCATCATTTGGAATATCGTCCTTAGTACAAGAACTTTGAATTTTTCTATTGCTGTGCTCTTTTGTAGCATGGGCCTGTTTGTGGACACTTGAATCACAGTCATTGTGAAAATTTGCCGTAATACTGGTTGCCACAGTTTCCTCACCGATGCCATTCTCTACAGCATTGTTTGGCTCTTTTATACAATTCTGTACATTTTTATCATTTATACAGCTATATTTTCCAATTTTACTCAAATGCTTCCTCATATGTTTTTGAAGAATCGGTTGTGAAGAGTATTGATTTCCACATATACCACAAGAAATATCCCGAGCACCTTTGCGTTCATTTTTATGAACATAGTTTATATGATTCATCAAGTCACACTTTCTAGGAAATTTCCTATCGCATAAACTACAAGGTAAGCAGTCACTTTTATGTACATCCTTCAAATGTCTCCTGACGTTACGACTGCGAGCGAACATTTTATGACAGATATGGCATTGCTTGTCATTGTCTGGTGAAATTGGAACGCCATCAAAATCTTGATTCTCTATCGAATCTTCCTGTTTGTCTGATTTTTGGGTCATTTTGGCATATTCATTCATATCAAATTCATGTATGGTTCTTAAATGTCTTCTGACATGAGAATTTCGCATAAATGTTTTACGACAAATATGACATTGCAAGTCACTGTTAGGAGTAGTTGTAATGCTGTCTTTGTTTTGGGTATCCTTGATTTCGCTTGAATCTTTATGTGTAAGCAATATTTCTTGTTTGTCTGACATTCGAGTTGTTTCAGAATTGGCAATAATATCAGATTTTGGCTTAGATTTATGTACATCATTTAGATGTCTTCTGACATGACGTTTTCGACTAAACGTTTTATGACAGATATGGCATTCCTTATCATTGTCGAAAGAGATTGGAACTCTGTCAAAATCTGGATCTTCCTGTTTGTCTGATTTTTGGGTCATTTTGGCATATTCATTCATATCAAATTCATGTACGGTTCTCAAATGTCTTATGACATGAGAATTCCGCGTAAATGTTTTACGACAAATATGACATTGCAAGTCGCTGTCAAGAGTAGTTGTAATCCTGTCTTTGTTTTGTGTATCACGGATTTCACTTGATTCTTCCTGTGTAAGCAATGTTTGTTTGTCTAAATTTGCGTTTGTATCAGATATTGGGTCAGAATTATGTGCATTCCTTAAATGTCTTCTGACATGAGATTTTTGAGTAATTGTTTTTTGAATATGACATTGCATGCCGCTGTCAGCAGTTGTAATGCTGTCATCGCTTCGTGTTTTCTGAATATCTTCGCGTGTAAGCAATATTTCTTGTTTGTCTGACTGCCGAGTTATTTCAGAATTTGCATTTATATCAAATTCATGTATGTCCCTTAAATGTCTTCTGACATGAGATTCCTGAGTGAACGTTTCGCTACAAATATGACATTGCAAGTCGCTGTCAGTTGTAGTTGTAGTATCGCTGTCCTTGTTTTGTGTATCACAGATTTCGCTTGATTCTTTTTGTGTATCCAATGTTTCTTGCTTTTCCGACTCCTGAGTGGTTACAGATTTTGGGTCAGATCTATGTGCATTTCTTAAATGTCTTCTGACCTGACACTTTTGACTGAACGTTTTATAGCAAATATGACATTGTTTGTCACTGTCATGGGTAATTGGAAAGCTGCCAATATTTTGTGTTTTCTCGTTTCCACTTAATTTTTTCCGTTTCTCTGGCTCTTGAATTATTTTTTCAAATAAATCAAGGGTGGGTTCACCGTCATTATTTTTTGTTTTCTGCTTTTTGCTTGATTGCACGTCTGAGTCCTGAGTTGTTTCAGCATTTGCACCTGTAGAAGGTTGAGGGAGACCGTCAAAATTGTGCGTTTTCTGGTTCCCAATCAATTTTCTTCGCTTTTCTGATTTTTGGGTTATCTGGGCATTCGCATCTGCAGAGGGTTCATCGACATTATTTTGTGTTTTCTTGCTTCCGCTTAATTTTTTTCGTTTCTCTGGTTTTTGAGTTATTTTTTCATTCAAATCAATAGTTGGTTCACCGTCAATAGTTCGTGTTTTCTGCTTTTCATTTGATTTTTTCAGCTTCTCTGGCTCTTTATCTTGAGTTATTTTAGCATTTGAATCTATAGTAGGTTCTGGAACGTCATCAATATTGTGTGTTACCTGGTTTTCTCCCAATTTTCTTTGCTTTCCTGATTTTTGTGTTCTGGCAGTTGTCAAACATATAGTAGGCTTGGGAACACTGTCAATGTTTGGTATTTTCTGGTTTTCCACCATCTCGTTCTGCAGGGGTGACTCTTGAGTAATTTTGGCATTCTTTGTGGGCTCACTGTCGTTATTTTTTGTTGTCTGCTTTTCACTCAATATTTTCAACTTCTCCGACTTATGGGTTATTTTGTCATTTAAATCTATAGTAGGTTTTGAAACACCGTCAATATTTTGTGTTTTTTGGTTTTCTATCATTTCTTTCTGCGGACGTGATGGCACTTTATTGTTTTTACTCTCCATTTCTTGACTTGAATCCATCGGCACACATGTTGTTTTGACATTATCGTTTATATCATGTTCCAAACTAGCTGGTTCTTCATGTGACGAAACACCAAATTTGGAGAGGTATTTTTTATGATCTCTTAACTTTTCAAGTTTTACAAAACAATTCCAAAGAGAGGAAATATCCAATATCTTGAATGGGGAAGATTCTCCATTTTGGCTATTTTGGACGAATTCTAATGAGTCATCAGTTGAATTTGGGTGTAATGATGACTCATCAATTTTGGAATTTTTTGATAACAATGACTTGGTGATTTTTGAATTTTTCAGAAGGCGATCTACAATTTTAGAAAAAGTTCTTCGCGATTTTGACATGTGTTTTTTAGCGTGATATCTTCTATGCCTCTTTAAATCGATAGCTCTAAAAAACTTCATTCCACATTTAAAACATTGACTGCCAGATTCATCCTCACTTGAGGAGCGGAATTCGTATATTATATCACTAATGTCCATATCATCCATCGGAGGTGGAGAGATGGATTTCTGATTTATTATTTGCGTAACAGAATCTTGTTTTTGCACCTCAAGTTCTTCTTTTGCTTTGTCAACCAAAAACTGCTCGTACTCTGCTTGCTCCTCAAACAGCTTTTCAAATAATGTTCGCTCATCCATAAATTTTACGGAATCAGTACAGTTATCTGTGTGGGAGGTATCCAAATCTTTTATATCAAATTGCATATTGAATTTTTCGAAAAAATTGCACCGATAGGGGTTTTCAGTGGTTTCAGAATTCTCAAAGCATAATCTTTTATCATCGTTAATTTGCCCGGTTTTCGATTGTTGTAAGAATTCCAATTCAGTTGGCATTAGTGACGAATCACCATTTTTGTGGAATTGCGTAGAATTTCCGTCAACACCTGAAGGACGCTCAGGGCTGCAATGAAGCGCCGTTTGTGCAGGTAACGCACAGTTTCGTTCAATATACTTGTCCAACATACTGTCATCTACGATCTGTTATACTTTTTATTCAAGAAGAATTCTTCAAAAAATATTCCCTTCCTTTCAATGTAGTCTTGCTCAGTTGTTGCAGTCATTACAGATGTTTACAGTAGGCTGAAAGACATCCTGATAGAACTACAAACCTAAACTAATTTATTCAGAAATCTGAGAAAAAAATATTGGATCATGACATAGAAATAACATGAATATGCTGATAAAAGATAATAACCTGAACAAATCAAGATTAGGAAATTCGAACTAGCACACTAACTAAGCACAGGATGGAAATTCAGAAAAAAATCAAAGAAAACGGCACTATTTTAAAAGTGAAGAATATGGGTTGGATGGTTTAGAGACGCTTCGGTCCACGATACCAATTACTTATTTTGCTATTATCAGTGGAAGTGAATCGTCGCGTTATTGTACATACAACTATATGCACGCACAACTATATTAAAGTTTATGACACTGCCACTACAAAACAAAACCTTAAAGCCACCTTCATGCATCAATAGGCATGGGTCAAAGGTCACTATATTACGGGTATTTTATTTTATTGTTCTTTATTTGGCGCTCCTGAAGTATGCATACCAAGATGGCGGACACTGAAACGTAGTATGTGTTCCAGGTTAGGCCATAATTTCCGGTGTCCGCCATCTTGGTACGCATACTTCAGGAGTACCCATTATTTTTTTATTGCAATTAATGAAAGAGATAAAAATTAAAAGTTCCAACGCAAATTAAACAACACCATTCTTTGTTTTTTAACATCCGACATAAAACTCATACGCATCGGACATTGTGTAAAGTAATGAAACAAGAAAAAGAACATAATTAAATAATCAATTTTTATTTTCATTAATAGTCATAATAACTAATAAATATGGTAAATAGCAAGATAATTCATTTTCATTAATAAAATTCTTCGCTCTCAGTTATCTGTATCGTAGCTGAAACGTCTGGTACAATAAGTTATGCCAGTTAGTTTTCAACCTTTTAGCAAGTGGATATTATATAGGATGGGAAGGGTGTCCATAAAGTCTTGCATAAAAAATTGCAAAGGAAATTTATCCCACAAACAGTTTTGGCCCTCACAGATGTATTAAATGAAGTAAAAATACTTAAACAATTACTGATTAAATTACAACAAACCTGGTTAAGATATATTGAGAACTGACTTCATAACAAAATTGAAATTGTAAAGAGACTTTATGGACACCCTATGTTCCAAAAACTAAGGATACGATAGCCTACTGTCTGTCTAGTGGTGTCTACGATACAGTTAACAGTTATTACAATTCATAAATTCAGTCATTGGGAATTTTGGGTACTTCCCAGGTATGTGAACCAAGATGGCGGACACCGGAACGTAGTTTGTGTACCACGTTAGAGTTGGGCCATAATTTTATATCAATTTTCCTTATTTTAGTTCTATTACAAGTTCGAAGATTAGCCAAGTAACTCTCATAGTCTTTGTACCTGAAATTAAGGCCTAACCTTAACCTGGTGGTGGTGTCCGCCATCCTGGTTCTCATACTTCAGGAATACAAAAATCTTGGAATATACAGGTATAGGCTATACCTGGCTATATATGTATTCTCAATCGACTCATAGTGGTAAGAAACATAAACAAGTTGACAATTATTAATATTGGACTGGATATATGCACAAGACTATACTGGCATGAAACACATTTTCTCGGCATGCATATTAAAAAACATCTTGTGTACAGTATCAAACACAATATTTTGGCAAGCTCCACTTTTGATAAATATTGAACAGCAAAAAAAATTATTTGGGTACTGGTATGTATAATATAGTCAGTCATACAGACAGTTGTGGAGTATGCAAAACTGTTCGTACAAGAGAGTTTATGGGTCAAGATAACATTTATAAATGGGGCGAGACAAAAAAAAATACACTGCACTGCACAAGTCTCAATAATAAAGTTGTAGAAGTATAAATCCAAACAAATTTCAAATTGTATTCAATTTGAAAAAAGCGAAACAATATTTTATATATATAACACAAATTTCACTAAGCTTTTGCTAGGACACAGTCCAGCTCAGGGATGGGGAACCACTCAACTGTGAGTTACAAAGTGACTCAATAGGTCACAACCTAATGCAAAAAACATACTTAAAGTTCAGTGATATGAATTGATAAAATTTCTGGCCCGAATGTAATCTAACAATAGTGCACTTCCACAGTATTAGTTCAGTATTAGGTTTAATTAACGTGGTTGAATATCAATTGAAAAATATATTCATTTCTGAGCAAAATTCCAAACTCGTCGAAAAATATTTGCTGAAGCATCATGATTTTTTTTTGATAATTTGTAGCCTATGCATGCAAATTCATGTCTTCACACATAAATTCAAAAAGTTGTCTGCTAGAAATCATCTCAGTCCTGATGTAACTGCTGCATGTGCAAAGATCAAAACTACACAATAACAACCAATGATTATAATGACTTGTGGAAGAAAAGATGATGCAGCAAGTATCTAATTGATGGACGGTTGATCAAATATCTATGGCCCAGTCTTCAATTCATTGAAAAAGGTTCGCCACCATTGGTTTAGCTTATCAAAGCAAATGTAATCTATTTGGAAATGGCATTAGAATACCTGCAAGGAGGCTAAGCCAACTTTACTAATTTTGAGTAAAATTTGACAATATTCAAATCAGAATTGATAAAATCTCATAAAGGCAAAACTAGTTATTAAGTAAACTGAAGAGTAGAGAACCATTAATATTAGTGTTAATCTAATTAAGTTTAGTAAAACCTAACCTTGGGAAAAAGATAAACATCTCATCACATATTTCCTCTCGGTAAAATATAGTACAATTCTATACAGTATTCCGTATATAATAATAATAAAAAAATGGATACCATATTGTAAATAACAATAAAAGCTAAATTTTATGAGTAAATAATCTCAAAGGCACCAACATACAGAAAAATTCAGTACTTTTAGCAGTATAGGATAATATTTACATATTTATCCTACGAGAGAAGAAAGCCCATAAGGTGGCAAACCACGGCCTCTCGTCCGGATACCATTCCATGTCGGGTATGGTATTAGTTTGGCAGTTATTAGTTTTTGGAAGCATGAACTTGGTAGAGAAAGCTGTAACCCACCAGCGGTTATGTTTATGTGAACCACCACCCTATGGCGGTCCACCAATCCTTTTGCACATATTTATCCACGCATCAGATTCGAATGGCGCGCGTAGTCATAATGCTTAGCACAATGTGCCACACTGCCTATCCGAATATTTAATATAAAATCCAGCAAGGCTGGGCGACGCCCAGATATCAAATCACACCCTTGACTGACTGATCGATTTCAGAAAAAAAATATTCAGCAGGGATTGTGACATCGAGTGGGCACCTTATTCACTGGACTTGAACACCTCAGATTATTACAACAATAAGAATCTTCGCCTGTGTGACTCCTCATGTGATCTTTCAATTCATGAAAACGAAACAAATCCCCGCACATTTCGCAAAAGTATATCCAGCATCTGTTTAAATCCAAATGAGTTTGAAATTCTTTTTCATTCAAAAATTTTTCTGCACATTTCACACATTCAAGGTATAATTTTTCTGTGTATTTTTCAAAATGCTTTTCTAAGTGTTTCATAGACGTAAAACCAATGTTGCAGTCAGGACAAATAGGTTTAGAAGAATGAATCATAATTTCGTGTTTCACCAAGCATGGTTTATGCTTGAATATTTTATCACAAAATTTGCAGACATATTCATTTCGAGCTCTGTGTAATTGAACAATTTCTCTGCATTGGTGGTTTTCATATTGAGAAATGATAGAGCTGCTGCTTTCGCTAGAAAATTGATTCGATTCGATAACATGGTTGCCAGATTTTGAGATAGTTGGTGATTCTTTGTGTGTCAAATCAATAAACTCGTTGCCAAGCTGTATATGTGGCTCTTTACCATAGAGAATGAAATCTTCAATAACATAACTCTCAATCGCCACAGAGCTGCACTCCTTTGCAGCATGGCCTTGAATAACAGTCATAGGTTCCTCATTGCTGCACCTCTCCACGACATTATTCGTTTTTTTTAGACAATTCCTTTCTTTGTTTTTTATAATAACTTTTTCTTTTCCAATTTGACTCAAATGTTTTCCCATATGTTTTTCAAGATTCCAACGCGTGGAGTATTCGTTTCCACATACGTAACACAAAAAATCTGAAGAAAATTTTTTGTCATTTTTATGAGCACGGTTCATGTGTCGACTGAAGTCAGACTTTCTGGAAAATCCCTGGTTACAGGTGCTACAAAAAATTTTATGTACCGCCCTTAAATGTCTTTTGACATGTTGTTTTCGACTCAACGTTAACAATTTATGTACCTCCCTTAAATGTCTTCTGACGTGTTGTTTCTGACTGAATGTTTTATGGCAGATATGACATTGTTTTCCGCTGTCAGCAGTATTTCGGAAACCACCAATATTTTGTTTTTTCCGGTTTTCTCTTAGTTCTTTCTGAGGAAACAATGGTGCTAGTACTTTTGACCTTTTCGTTGTTTTGAGATTTGCATTTATACCTAGTTTTGGGTCAGATTTATTTACGTTCTTTAAATGCACGTTCTTGGTTGTTTTTGCTTTTGCATTTGTACCTAGTTTTGGGTTAGATTTATGTACATTCTTCAAATGTCTTTTGACATGATCTTTTCGAGTAAACATTTTACGGCAAATATAGCATTGCAGGTTCTTGACACAATGAATTGGGACACCGTCATTATTTTTTGTTTCATGATTTCCTCTTAAATTTTTCTGTACAAGTGATGACGCTTGTTTGCTTTCACTTTTCATTTTTTCACCTGACTTCTCAGACTTTTTTTGATTTGTTATGGCATTTCCATTTATATCATGCTCTGAGATAACAGATTCTTCATGCAATGCAACATTCAAGTTTAAAAAGTATTTTTCATAACTTGTTAACTTTTTAATATTCACAAAACAATCTTGTAAGGAGGAGATATCCTCAATCTTATTTCTGCCATTCTTCTTGAATACGGAAGATTCTTCATTAGGGCTGTCTTGGAAAATTTCTAATGACTCGTCAGTTTTTTCAAAACTGGTTTGGACCACTGAAGCTGATTCAGCAATTATTGAAATTTGTAGTAACGGCGGCGACTCAACAGTTTTGAAATTTTCAAAATTATTACAATTTTGAGAAAAACTGTCTTGTGAATTTGAATGAGTTTTTTTAGCATGATATCTTAAATGTCTCTGTAAATCGATGGTTCTAAAAAACTTCATTCTACATTTAAAACATTCGTCGCCAGATTCATCCTCACTTGAGGCTTCATTGCCAGATTCATTCTCACTTGAGGGTTGAGACTCAGATAGATCACTGCTTTCCGAATCCTCTACGTGGGATGGGGAATCTGATCTCTGATCTACTACTATTGTAATTAAATCTTGATTTCCGACGCCGTCATCTTCTATTGATGGATCAACCAAAAAAGACATCATGAGGTGACACACATGATGATTTATATTGAAATCTGGAAAACGAAATAACATTTCATTTTAATGAATTACAAAGTTAAACGTAGAAGATCAGAAGATTCTCACTACCACCATCCTTCAATGCGATCAGAGTCATGCACATGTTAGCTGGGTTTGAGAGCATGGTGATAATATTTGATAATAAGTAAATAAAATGAGAATAGTGTGTGCTGTGGCAAATAATTTCGTAACAAGCACAAGTTTGTCTAAAATAATTTTTCATTGTCAGTTAAAAATGGGAATCGATAAGTAACTGTATGAAATAGAGATTTGGCAAAGTTAATTAATCATGAAATTATATTCAGGGATGTCTAAATCTAATTGAATAGTCAGATTCTAATTTATTGGAATAACCCGACCTTGGAATATTTATTTAAGAGTTTATAAGAATATCGAATATCACACACAAATCCTCACCACAACGCTTTCATTGAACAAAAGCATGAAAACCTGAAATTTCCATACCCCATCACGTTTTTTGGTCGCCTGTTAATTCAAGAATTATTGTAAAAGAATTTACTAACATAACAGTGATTTAAAATTTGTACGACCACCCTTATTTCAATCTCACAATAAGCGCTGCAGGTGTGAAGCTCAAAACTAGGCTACATGATACCAACCCATAATGGTACTCCTTCTGTATGCGAATCAAGATGGCGGACATCGGAACGTAGTATGTGTACCAGATTAGGATTACCCCATAATTTCAGGTACCAATACTACGGGAGTCACTTGGCTAGTCCCCGAACTTGTAATAGAACTAAAATAAGGAAAATTGGAATAAAACTATGGCCTAACCCTCAAATTTTCTCATCAAATGATTAAATCCGTGACTCACAGTCTTCTTTTACATGATAAAAATGGGCTATAATGACTGTCATCGCTGCCCTACAAGGATCTTGTCAAACGAGATTCTACTGTGACGTTTTTTGCTATAATCTTTTCATTATTAAATCCTGTTAGTGTTAAAGCATCTTCATGATTCATAGAGTTGAAGGTAAATTTTCTATGTATTACTGTATAGGCCTATATAATGATAATCTGCAAAAAATAATGAATACTGAATTCAAAGAACTGAATAAAATTCATGAGAAAATAATCTCAAAGGCATCAACACACACAGAAATAAGAAGTTCAACACATTTATAAGCAATGATGAATATAAAAAACTTGTGGCCTAGTAGTTAGCACTTTAGTTTGAACTAATTATGTTAGAATTTTTTATAGAAGGACCAAAATTTTTTTGATTCAGCAATTCCCTCACACTTTTATTAGACCTTTTACTTGGTGTAGATCATTGAATCTAAGTTCTTAAACACAAGTTCATCAGGCTGGCCACTAATAGAGAATCTATTATCAGACTTCAAAGAAATTCAATTTACATAAGGTATGGTGCAGAGAACGAAGCAAAAATAACGTGATAGTTGCAGATACAAATCAAGATACAAATCAAGTTCGAAGAGAATTTGAGAATTAAAGTCACACAACATACAATTAAAGTCACACAACATACAGCTTATGCATATAACGGTTCCATTACATTTGAACCCACGACGATTGCACCTGCACACTATTGCACCTATGAAAAATTTTGTTGTTTTACGGATATTTGAACCCATACTAACCCTAACCCATGGGTTTAGCACCCGCATATAGATTGAACGCGCGAATATACACATGGGTTCAAGTGTACGGTCACCGCATATAACATATGTACAGAAGATTTTTTCAAAAACATGAAAATAAATGGAACCAAAAAATTCCGTATAGTGTGTGTGTAGGAAAAATTGATAAAACAACAAGTATACAGAAGAATACAGGAAATGATCGCGCAAAACAAGTAAGGCAAGTATATGCAGACCCCCAAACTGTGAATTTATAAAACTTCTCATTTAGGTCAACCCTACAAATCGTAACATACCATACAGCAAATGATTGCAGATTAGTGTGATCAGAGTTATGCCATATAAGCCAGTTCCTAGTTTTGTAATTTTTTTCAAGTTTCAAACATGGCTTTATATGCGAGGATATATTTTTGTCGTATACTCTACACCAGAAGTGAATATTTCAGAAGACCAGCAATTGAAGAACCAGAACCAGCAATTGAAGAACCAGAAAAAAATACTGTACGGTACTTATGGATAATCCATAAATATCAAAGACTGTTTATGCAAAGACTGAATCCCCACTGCTTCGAACAAAAAACTGAGCCAGAGCTCCAAGAACAAGGTTGCGACGTTGGGAAAATTAAATTGGAATACAATATTGATTGAAATATCAAGTATAAATAGATAATATATAGCCGCAGTAGAAGCAGATTAGCTTATTTAACGTTTAGGGTTTAAAAAAATCACATTTTTCCAATTTTCAGGTCAAATAGTCAAGCCTGAAAATGGACATACCATATTTTCCAGCAAATAAGTAAACCCGGCAAGTAAGATGAAGCACTGAAAAATAGGGTTTTTCCATAATATAGCCCTCCAATAAGACAGGGCTACTTTTCTGTTGGTCAGTTAATAAGCAACTTGCGGAAAATAACCAAATCCCAGAAAAACGCTGACTTACGGTGTTTTGAGGTTACGAAGCGCACTCCATAACGCTGTTTCGAGATTACTGGATCATTGTGATCAAGAAAATCAGTGCTTTGGGCTCATTATTGATTTTCGTCATTTACATCGTAATTGACTGGGGCAATTTCTAACTATTACGATTATGAACGAATAATCACTAAGCTTCAGTCACATGGTACACAGTTTCAGTAATACTGTACGCCATTTTGATTGTTCCGACTTACACTGAAATTCGGGTTACACCGCGTCTCGAGAACGGAACAACGTCGTAAGTCGAGGACTCCCTGTATCTATTTTATAAGCTACAGTATAAGCTACTTCGGTTTTATTGTGGTAACATGGCAATATCTGACCGACAGATACACAACATAGCTAAAAGGAATACAGTGCAGAATATAATATTCCTCCAAAACCTATAATGTCGCTACTGTAAAATGTAAAACTACTACAAAAGACAGAAGAAAAAATAATAAATGTCTGTTATAAACACAAAAGTACAAGCTTAATGCGAAGCATGAAAATAGGTTTCAAGTATTTGAATGCTATTTACAATCTTGGTTTCAAATACCACACAGGGTGTAATAAATTGGGTAGGCAATATTGACACAGAAATTTAAAAATTGCAGATTTTGCAATTGCTGCTTTTTATTTTACAGGACCTTGTTCGAAAGCGAAAGTAATTGTTGTGTAAAATTGCATAATATGATACTATTATGACTACCCTTAATTAATAGCAGATTTAACAGAAATTGTGGATTGCTCATTCGATAATAATATATGACACGATTGTTACAAAAATAAATCAATGAACATTAGCACTGGGAATTGAATAATTTTGTCAAGAATCATCAATGATATTTTTCCATACAAGTAGCACAGGATTGTACAGAAACTGTCTGATTTCAGAACTAAAGGTAACTCGTCCAGAAAAAAATTTCGAATCAGGAAAGTAAGATAATTGATTGCAATTTACAAAAAATTAGTAAGTTCGCTCATGATTTTCCAACACATGATGGGATTTGGCAGGATAGTGAAATCATTTATTTTAGTCTCCCTCTGGGTCAGATTTCAAGAACACCGGAAATCAGAGTCACAATTTTTTATTCAACTTCTACTCTTTTTTGAAAAAATAATTTGCGCTTAATTTAAAGTACTTTAATAAGGTTGTAGTCATAGTCAGACTTTCAAGAATGCTTCAATTAAATTTCCATTTAATGGTTACTTTTCAAGCATGTTTATTGTAAAAAGCATTGTCTTAGAAATTGTCACATATTAACCATAACTAAAATGAATAGCCATTGCAAACAGTTTCCTGTTCTGCTATGTGGCGTTACATATTTATGTATGTTGCGAACTTTTATGATTATTGATAGAGGATTGATATGCATGTTTTTTCCCTTTTTTATGCATTTCGAGCATATGTGTTGATGAAAAAATAAGCTCACATATTGAGCAGGTTCGTTTTTCTATATCATGAGATTGAACATGTCTCTTGTACAACCACCTTGTGCAAAACTGTCTGTCACAAACTGTACAAATATATCTGGATATTCCTCGCACATGTTTATTAAAATGTGCTTCCTTGATGAATCTTCTTTTACATAAATCGCACTCAAGTGTGTTCTCATTATTATGAGTTTGCATATGTTCCAAAACCGATGTCTCAGAACTGAATTCTTTTCCACATGAATCACAATGATAAGAATCTTCGCCTGTGTGACTTCGCATGTGATCTTTCAATTCATGAAACTGAAACAAATCCCCACAAATTTCGCAAAAGTATATCCAGCATGTGTTTAAATCCAAATGAGTTCGAAAATTTTTTTCCTTCGAAAAATTCATAGCGCATTTCACACATTCAAGATATAATTTTTCTGTGTATTCTTCAAAATGATTTTCTAAGTGTTTCAATGAAGTAAAATTAGTTCCGCAATCAGGACATGTAGGTTTACAGAAGTGAATCATAATTTCATGTTTCACAAGGCATGGTTTACCCTTGAAGATTTTTTCACAAAATTGGCAAATATATTCATTTCGAGCTTTGTGTAATTTTACAATTTCTTCGGATGAGTGGTTTTCATCTTGAAAACCAGAAGAACTGCTGCTTTCACCAGAAAATTCATTTGATTCGATAACCTGGTTGCCAGATTCTGAGATGGTTGTCGATTCTTCGTGTGTTAAATCAATTACTGTCTCATCCTGTTGATCTTCCAAAGAACTCATTGTCTTATCCCAATAATATTCCCATCAAGTCCAAACAATATTACCTCCAATATTAGTGTAAATAGAACAATTCTATTATAAAAACACACAAATTAGTGATAGAGATGATTTATATTGTATTAGTATACATCATAATTTTGGTAGGCCTACTCCCGTAGTGTGTGTACCAGGTTAGGGCTAGGCCATAATTTTATTCAGATTTTTTTTATTTTAGTTCTATTAGGAGTTCAGGATTGTCAGTTTAGCCAAGTAAACATGCCCCTTATCCATAGGTTTCAGTCCCTTAACACAACTTAATCGCAGGGATGGCCATTTCCGAATACTAAACTATTCCGAATACATTCTAAAATAATGTTTTCGAATCTGGAATTCCGAATACATTCTAAAATCGAAAATAACACATTTTTGTTTTAGTTTATTAAAACCCGGTAAATTAGGAAATAAGCTTCAATAGAAGAATTAGAATAAAGCCACAAACCAACAGTATATGTACACAAAGTAATTGATAGTTTATAGTTATCAATAAAAAATAATAGCAATTTGTGGTTGTGACACAGTTTATTAAAATTATTCACTTTGTACAAATGACCGGCGGTGTGGCTCAACGGACTAAGCGTTAGGAATACGCTCGCCACCGCACCTCTAACTACTCTGCGTGGGTTCGCAGGTTCGAATCCCATGCAGAGATGGTTATGTGCGAGAGGATTGCTGGACTCCTCGCCGTCGTTGGGTGGTTCACGTAACCGCTGGTCGGTTACGGCTTCCTCCACCACCAAGTCCATGCTTCCGAAAACAAACAATACAGTAAAACTAATCCCATACCCGACTTGGAATGGTAACCGGACGAGAGGCCGTGGTTCGCCATATGGATAAGCCGTCTTATCGGCTTTCCTCTCCCCCGGGATAAATATGTAAATCCTATCCTATCCTACCATATGAAAAGATAGCCAAGGAGTTGTCTGACGCTTTCTATCATTGGTACCATGATATTTCGATAATAGTCAAGTCTATTGACATAAATACTACTTGTATTCAGATAATTGTGTATATTTTTTGAGAGTAATAAAATTTATTGGCAATACAGGCAACTGAAACAAGCAACAACAATTGAAAATCCATTATGCCTTTAAAAATTCTAATATTTAAGCCTAGAGTATTCTACTACCTACCAGTATATTTGTATATTAATTTATGTGAACCATATTGTTATTATGTGTAACATATTGTTGTGTTTGTAATTAGAAATAAATTAGTACAGGATAGATGACCACCACTCCCAGCCGCGCAGCCAGGATTTTCGAAATCGGAAATTCCCATTGCCGCCTGTAACACCCATAGCGATTCCGCGCTCATTAAAAAAGCCGTCTTTTCAGCGTAAAATGATCATCCTGTCACGTAAAATATTCAATCCATGACAACTACGAGATTCTAAAATATTTTTATATATTAATTTAATGTGTCCAACGTAACTCGCGGTTGCTTCTTCTTACGTCAAAAAAAAAACATTACTATTCGGTCCACGACGATCTGTGACCTAAAAGTACGAGATAAACTGCCTGATGTATTTAATTTTAATACGTATTTTTGCAATCTTGCCAACTCGTTATCGCCGTTAGAAAAATCTCAAATAATGATATAAAATCCTCTTAAATTGTAGAGTATAATTCATTTCATACAATGGATATACATATAAAGTTTAGCAGTAAATTAAAAATACATATTCATCGCCGCGATTATGCCACCTGTTAAAAGAGTCGACTTTTACAACAAATAATATAACAACGAATATATATTTTTCTGTTGTGCAAAGTGATGAATTCGTGACCAATATGGGCATATTTAAAATGTCTTGCTTTAGTAATTAAATTGACTTCAATTTAACCTGCGGTTGCGTCGACAAAATAAAATCCTCCCCACTCTTTTATACCTTTTATTATTGCAATTCGCGGTCATAAAAATAAAAGCTTGTGGTAAACTGCCCGAATAAATAATGTTTTTATCCGTATTTTGCGAATTCGGCAAATATTTAGATGTACTTGTTAACAGTGACTCCGCTCAATCAAAATGCTGCCACTCTGATTATTTTTAATAAAACCGTTCGAAAAATCCCTATATCTGCTGTAACATCACAGATTAAAATTCATTTCATCACAATAAAATTGATTGAATATACTCTAGATTAATTATATTATACACATCCTCACAGCCCCGGAAAGAGTCAAACCGTTCCAAACCTTGTATCATGTTACCACGAAAATATTCGACGGCAATTTAAAGTATGGATAATCAGCCAAATCCCGCCCTCAATTCGCGACGATATGTTTCTAAACGCCGACCAAACATAATGTGTGCCAGAGGCACACGAAATTTTGCGATTCTCACTGCCTAGAAATTTTTTTTTTTAATTTTCGTGGGCCGCAATAAAACTTATATTGTTTACGGTTTTATTTTCAGTATTTTAAATTGCCGATCTTTTCAATCAAAGAGTTGCGTTGTCTTTAGAAACTCGCCACCGATGAACGTATTTACCAGATTCACAATTCCGTGCGCGTACAAAAATAAAATAATTGTCATCGTTATCGTGGAACAAATTTGTGGAAAATTTTTGTTTCAGAGATTATAACACAAACGTAAATAACACGTTACGCTTATGAGTGATGAAAACAATCACGCGCAAGTTTCTATCGAGAATGTTTTTATTCAACGGAAACGTCGTGAAAGCGGCGTCGAAAATGTGTGACGTCACACAAATATCCGATATTCTTATGAACGCTAATTCCGATATTCGAATACTTTATTCGAATTGGCCATCCCTGACTTAATGTAAAGTAGACGAACAAAACTAGTTACCTCCATATTGGTACAATGGTACACATACTTTGAGTGCTGCAAAATGATCCATATCCTATTTATTCTAGATATTCTAAATATATCTATATTTCCGGTGCACACAACTTCCTATCATTCTATGAGAATGCATATGTTTACAAAGCTCAGATTTTTCAATCAACATTGCTGTTAATAATAGCTTGTCAGAAGAAGTCTGATTTGTGAAAATGAGATGCAAGAATTCTCAACTGCAAATTAAACTTATCCAAATATAACATATTCAAAAACATGGGAATTCATATAGTAGTATTAAAGTGTATGCCAATTATTGGAATAGATCTTTTTCCTAGCATTAGCATTAGTATTTCAAGATATTCCCGACTTTTTTATATACTCGTCATCATGGTATAACGATGCATGTTGAAAAACCGTATGGCATGTTTAATAAATCTCAAGGTTCAACTACCCTGCCCATTCCAGTCCTTTTGAAAATAAATAGAGGGACATACCGTTTTTTTTCGGCTAATAAGACAAGCCTATTTTCAGCACTAAAAATTAGGTTTTTCCATATAGCCCTCCAACAAGACAGAAAAATTGTGGGTCAGTTAAGCACTATTAAGCGCTCATAATTTTTGCTTAGAACCATGTCATATTTGTTTCAGGTAGAATCCTACTCACAGAACAATACATACTACAATGAACAATATTTTTAACAATAAAGGAGTAATTTTTATCATATTGAACAACCAATTAAATAGAAAGTTGAAATAACCTGTGAATATTGTGTGCTGTACAGCCATGGGCTAGTGAAAATCTTTGTTTTTCAGTCTGGTGTCATCTGAATCGTCAAAACTGAAGGGTCATAAATCAATCACTTTATTTGGTGGTAGCGCTTTTCTTTTTGAAGTATGGATATCAGGCATGAAAAGGAAGGGAGTACTTCATCACACTGGCCAGGTTTTAAAAAGAATAAGACAAATAACAGGTGATAGTCAAAAGTCAATTATATAACCGGTAGACACTTTGGCACCATTATAAAATATATCAATCCAGATAAGTTCACACAAATCATGTTCAAGAAGACTCATTCAAAAAATGAGCCGACCTCAGAAGAAATAAAATAAGCATAGCTTCCCAATAAGACGCCCCCCCCCCACCAAAAAAAAAAATCAGGCCAAAAAATTGGGTCCAGAAAATCGACTTAATAGCCGGAAAATACGGTACATATACCGGTAGTTATAAACCAGTGGCTGCTATTTGGTAGAGCCTTGCTTGGAGTGAAAAAAGATAACATAATACAAAAATGATGGTCTGATCCACGATACAACAGGGGTGTCAATATATGGTATTCATGAATTTAATGTTTCCACCAATTTCGGTTTCGAATAATCTGTATAAGCCAATTTTATAGCAGAATCATGTAATTATTATCCATAATGTAGGTGTAATGGCTTAGTGCAGTGGTTCCTTAACAGCGGCCCGTGCAATTATTTAATGTGGCCTGCCTAACCTAAGTGGAAAAGTTTCATACTTCAGTTTTTTTCTTTTCTTTTTGCATTCCAGATACCTGTCAATCATTAGGTCATTATCACAGTTTAAGCATATGTATATTCGTAACAATTCAATTATATCGTTATTTTAATTATTCATACCGCATAGGCCCCTTACAGGCGATCCCCCTTCCCATCCCACGAATATCCTTTCGCTTCTAATTTCAACTCGGGGAACCCTGATGGGTTCTAGCACAGTCTCCTAATAAAAAACAAATGAGAGGAATTTGTATGAGAGGAAGTATGGGGTGAATAACTGGGTCAAAATGAAAAATATGGCATCTGAGCTCATAAATGTAAAATAAAGTCTAAAATGAGGCTATAATTTTAAAGACAGAAGTGATTTATATAAGCTAAGAAGTCAAAAACAGCATAGCCATATGTCACCTGGTTCACTACGTACATCACGCTCTCATCTCTAAAATAAACATATCTGAACCGTAGATACTTAGAAAACAATACTTGTAATGAAGCACTATGCTGTTAATATCCCTTTTTCCTGGCGTCTGGTTGAAACGACACTCCGTGTTGATGCAGAATATGTTTTAGTAAGTCTCAGCGAATTTTGATCCCGTAATTTTCAAAATCTTGCATTACCCTTTTCATAATGACCAAAAATGGAATTTCTCCGAAAGCAGTTCATAGTAGTTCAACTGGGTTTGATTAAACCTAACTATAGACTGTAAACAAAAATAACGAGAATTGATAAACAATAACAATCAAAATAAAGATCAAATTTGGTGAAAGAAAACAAGGCTTCTTATTTATAACCTGTTACCTGATGACAAAAGGCAATATTAGATAATAAACATATAATTGAAAAATACAATAGCAAACAAAAATGTTTGGAAAGATAAGCTTAAACAATAGATGCACACACTATTTCAGGGATTCCAAAACATCTAGGTCGCGACCCCTTCCAATATATTAAAAAGTTTCGCGACCCCCTGTTACGAAAAGTGCGCCCATTTCGGGTCTTACGATCAAAGTCAGCATTGTTATGCTAGCGTGCCGCTTCTCTGATCCAATGTATTCTCTAAGAATCGTGAGATTTATGTTTTGCGCTAGTTTTAATAATAGTGTTTTGAATCAAAAGTCTAAAGAAGTACAATAAATATAGTACTTTGTGTGAAATCGGTGTACTTTTTGTAAATTCATTGCGTCCCCTCAGTTTGGGAAGCCCTGCACTATTTAATGCCATGCTATACTCAGCTGCACCAAGAATATAAGTCAATGTTTTTTTCCCATTTAGCATAAACCACTAATAACCCACACAAAAGATGGCACACTTTATTAACAGCTTACAGTCTGTTCATTCCCAAATTGCCCTGTTTGTATACAATATTCTGTGACTAGAGATATCCAGAACATTCAGTATTAACAGAATTAAAAAAAATTTGATATTCAGAAAATAAAATGACAGCATTTACCATATTTGAAAACAAAGATGAAAAGAGATATTATCCATACAAAAATAAAAACGAGCTTAGAAAGTTGATACTTTGGTCAGACTATTATTTGGCAATTATTGTCAGTCAGACCAGGAGTATATGGAGCCAAAAAGTCAAGTCACATTCATTTTTTTCAAACAGTAGAAAAAAAGAACACAGATAATATGAGCAATAAAGTCTATCAGTAATGCAATCCAGGGCTGCAATTATTTGAGATAAATATTGCAGAAAAATATTATGACAAAATTCATAAGTATATCCTGATCCAAATGTTCAATTGGCAAGTACTACATCATTTTTAATATCTGTTGAATTCTTAGAATAAAACACACTATATAAATGATATAACCCACAAAAATATCATAGTTAAATGTGAAAATAAAGAGTACTACACATTATACATCATTTTTAATATCAGTGGAATCTAATAGAAATTGGGTACCTGAGCTGTTTGCTTGAAAATTTAAATTCAAAATTCTAGAAGCATTTTATTTTCAATTTTCTGAAGCAGTAGCTGAAATTTTTGCTTTAGAAGATTTATTGTTAATATGTCCTAAAATATGTTTCTGAGCACAGACTTTGATATGAAAATATTTCCCACAATGACCACATTTGTATGGTTTTTTTCCTGCGAAAGCTTGCTCATGTTTTTCTAAAGAAGTTTGGTCTGGAAACTCTTTGTTACAGACTTTGCATGAATAAGATTCTTTGGGTACTTCCTCAGTCTGGCCAAACAGCATCAGTTCATCACCCACTGCGTCAGTATTCAAACTCGCAGGGTCTGGGTTACAAGGTTGATAGGTGAAATGAATTATTTTGACATCATGTGAGTTCTTATGTAAAATGAAGTCTGTTTTACTACTGAAGGTTTCTTTACATATAGAACAAGCTATAGGTTTTGCATGAGTTTTCATATGTCTTTCAAGTAAATCTTTGCTGTAAAAATTCCTTTTACAATCAATACATTGAAATGATGCACCAACTCCATGCTTTCTTAAAACGTGCCGTCTAAGATCACATGCTCTTGCAGCTCTATAGTCACATTGAGAACATGGATGGAGTCTGTCTTGGGAATGCATGTACACCATGTGTGCCTTCAGAGCTGATTTTTGTGTGAAACGATTTTGGCAAGTACTGCATACAAATTCCTTCTTGCCTGTATGTATTCTACTGTGATCTGTTAACAAAGTTTTTGAGCTAAATCGCTTCCCACATTCATCACAGTTATATGGTTTTCCTACAGTATGCAATCTAATATGCTGAGACCAGGTACTTTTGAGACGTAATCTATGTCCGCAAATGTAACATGGAAATGGTTTTTCCCCGGTATGAATTCTGATATGTTCTTCAACAATTTCCTTTGAAAAAAACTTTCTGTCACATGTTTTACATGCATAAACAGACTTTATATCGGTATGTTTGATGTTATGTTCGATAAAAGATTTCTTCGTCTGGAGAGGAACTTCACATACTTTACAACACAAATCTTTATCCATCAACTTATCCATTAGTGCCACCTGCTGTTCAGGGGTAGTCCCATTCACGATCTGCTGGTTTTCAGTCAAGACTGGACTACTGTTTTCTGGAGAAACCGTTTCGCCACCACAGCTTATCGCAGTGTTTGAATGAAGTTGTCCGCTATCTCTCCTTCCATCTCCATCATCAGGATAATGCAAACTCAGATGAATGTCATACGTTTTCTCTCTGGTAAACATTTCTCCACAAATCACACATATTCGTTTGGAAATACTTTCATGTTTTTTCCTATGATTTGTTAACTTGTTATTATTTGCAAAAACATTCCCGCATACTTCACATGAATGTGTTTTTTCAACAGCATGTACTCTAATGTGATCCACCCATATTTGACTACTTGAAAATCTCTTCCCACATTGATTACATTCAAATGGTTTTTCACCTGTGTGAGCCCTATTATGTTGAATTAGTTCAGATTGTCTTGAGAAGGTTCTGTGACAAGCATCACATTCATAAGGTCTGAATAAATTTTCATGTAGCTTCGACACAGGGTCAACAGAAGCACATCCTAGAATGTTGATAGTGGCGACTTGACGAGGTACAGAACCATCGTAAATCGACATGACTGAATATACAAAAATTATTCAACTCTGTTCCTATATGTATCATAAAATCCTAGTAAAATGCACGGAATTTGAAATTAAAATAACTGTAGTTGATGTAATACTGAAAATCTGATGCTGTAAGCTGCAATCTTTTATTCAATTTACTATGTTTTTTTCATAGTTTTTTTAAACTTCATGTATAATTCAGTGTTTATATAGAACAGAATTTGCTCTGAATACTGTTCAAACTTCGATACTCTCATATATGATCAACTATTTTCTTAGAAAATGTCCATTTTTTGGTGATTTTTAAAGTAAAGAAGATTAGATTAATAAGGCAGACAATAAACAACCTAATAAAAGAGAAAGGGTAATAAAGATATGGCATTAATCAACAAATATAGTAACTATTTTCTTAGAAAATGTCCATTTTTTGGTGATTTTTAAAGTAAAGAACAGGGGCGGACACCCGGGGGGGCGAGGGGGGGCGGTCGCCCCCCCAATAATTTCGCAAAAAAATTTAATACATGTTGTTTCCGCCTTACAAAATTATCATTTCCGAAAAGTGCGATAGTCAAGCGCAATTAAACGGTTAATAGTCACCGATATTATAACTGTTTTCTCACAATAATGTGGACCAGAGCGTCTTCGGAGCACCTCACATTTTCGCGAAACATGCGCGCCCGCACGGGTAATACTCCGTCTTCAAACGCACCGCCGATCACGCGCCACGGTTTTGCACAACTAATTCATTTTTGTACAATTTAATATGATTTTCTCATTGTCAAAATCTTTCAATAGTGTTATTGTTGGCACTTGCGAGAGAAGTGAAAGAGGCAAACTGTGTTTCATTACAACAATTAATTATTATCGCTAAAAAATTAACTAGATCTAAAGTTGTTATAAACAAATTTTCACCGCTGGACGTATCTTTTCACGTTATGGATTTCGTGCAAGGCCCAGCATAATTTGCGGGCAAAGATCAAAGCATTTACTATGTCGAAAAGTTGAAAAGCGGCAATATAAAATACTAAAAGTAAAACTGTAAACAATATAGGTTTTGTTGAGGCCCGCGCCAGTCTAAAAACGCTTTTCTAGGCATCGAAAATCGCAAAATTTCACAAATCATGTTTGCTTGACCTTCAAAAACATTTCGTTACTAAAATCGAAACACGATCAATTGTGAGCGGGATTTGCCTTTTTATCCATTACTTTTAAATTGACGTCGAAAATTTTCGTGTTTACATTAAACAAAGCTGACAACGCGACTTTTCCCCGGTTTGTGATGATATATAAGATAATTAAAGTATTTTCGATCACTTTTTTGTATTTATTTATGTATTTTTATTGTACTGAAATAACTTTTACTACGTGAGAATTGACAAAAAATTTATGGATTTTTCGAAAGGTTTTATCTTTAAAAATAATCGGAGTGACAACATTGCGATTGGTGCCAGTGTTACAAGTAAATCTCAAATTTATCGAATTCGCAAAATAGCAAAAATACGGATCAAAACAATATATAAACGGGCAGTTTACCACACATTTTTATGTCCGCGGATTGCCGTCGTGTGTTAGAATGGCTCTTGTTTTGTCGACTCAACCGTAGTTTAAATTGAAGACAATTAAAATAATAAATCAAGACATTTTGAATATGCCCGTATCGGTCTTTGATTGATTACTTTGCACAAGTGAAAAATCATTTTTCGTTGATAAAGTCGGCTCTTTTAACAAGTGACGTAATCGCGGCGACTGTTCCGCGTGGATTTCGAGGCGGTGAATTTGTATTTTTGATTTACTAGTATACTTTATAATTATTTTCATTGTATAAAGTAAAATTGTACTATATGGGATTTTATATCAGATATCGAGATTTTTGTAACGGCGATAACGAGTTCGGAAGATTGCAAAAATACGTATCAAAATTAAATACATCAGGCAGCTTATCTCATATTTTTATTTCCCCATATCGCCGTGGTACTTTAGTTTAGTAATATTTTTATTTTGACCTAAGAAGTCGCAACCGCGAGTTACGCTGCACACAATTAAATTAATATGTAAGGACATTTTAGAATCTCGTGGCTGTCGAGACCGCGAGTTACGCTGCACACAATTAAATTAATATGTAAGGACATTTTAGAATCTCGTGGCTGTCTGGGATCGACAGAAAAAACATTATACTGCTTAAATAGGCGGCTCTTTTAACTAGCGCGTAATCGCGGTGCTTGTTGCAGACGGCAATGGGAAGTTCCGACCCCCAAATAAGTTATTTTCTGTTTGTTAGCAAGAGCCGTGGGCTAATTCTCGCGGAATTCAAGAAATTGGTTCAGTGACGCGCAAGTTCCGTGTCCGAGCAAAGCAGCCTAGGTAATCGATATATGACATGCTAATACTTAGAGAATGACATCGACAGGTTATTGTTACGTGACGATACACGGCGCGGTGTTTTTCGGTAGGCGATCCAAGTTCGCCCCCCCAAAATTATGGAAAGTGTCCGCCCCTGGTAAAGAAGATTAGTTTAATAAGGCAGACAATAAACAACCTAATAAAAGAGAAAGGGTAATAAAGATATGGCATTAATCAACAAATATAGTATCATTAAATTAATTATTAAACAAAATGGTGGCAATCAGGTATGTGAAAAAACAGGAAATTGAGTATTGAATACGGCCGCACAACATTTACCATCCTTAATAAAATACTTTGACTACTACCGGTAATTTAACATGACATAATGAACGTAAAATTAGAAAGTTGATTCTAGGGAAATGTATATTGGAACATTATATTTTGATAGTGAAATATAGAGTATTTCATACATCGATAAATTGATATAAAATCTACAATAAAATTTCTCAAAAGTATAAAGGTTTAAAAATTATGTTAAAGACTGATAATATGCAGTCTTCAGTAAAAAGTAGTGAAAATTGCAGTAATAAGGTAAAATTGCGATAATAATTCACAAAAATTCAAGATATTTCAACACTTGGAGGGATATCCATAGGAAAAAGTGAACTAGCAAGCATATTAACCGGTACTCCCATTAGCAAGCATATTAACCGGTACTCCCATAGTGTGTATGCAAGGTTAGAGTTAGTTAGGCCATAATTTTATTACGAGTTTCCTCATATTAGTTCTATTATGAGTTCGAGGACTTTCTGTGTTAGCCAAGTGAATACACCCCCTGCCATAGATTTCAGTCCCTTTACACAACTTGACGTAAAGTAGGCGAACAAAATTTGTTACCTCCATATTGTTACACACACTTCTGGAGCGCGCAATCAACTGCATAGAAATCAGTTTGGACATCAGAACCTAAGTTGTTTCTATGGGACGAGAGTAAGAACTGTCAACCCGATGAGAGTCTAAATGACACTTTAAAGTTGTGGCGTTGAAAAATTCCTCGTTACAGATTGCACATTTTAAAGATTTATTACCAAAACAAGATTTACTGCCTAAATTTGAGTTTATTTCTGACTCTGCTGTGCTCCAAACACCATGAATCTTCGTATGAGATCTTAAATGAGAATTTCTAATGAACCTTTTGTCACACATATTACATTGAAAAGGTTTATCACCAGTATGAATTTTTGTATGATCACGTAAATGTGAGGCTTTCAAAAATCGTTTACCACATTTTAAACATTGAAACGGTTTTTCGTCAACATGTATTTTTGAATGATCTTTGAGATGAGAATCATCACAAAAACTTTTCTCACATTTGGGGCAAGTTACAGGTTTTTCTATAGCGTGTATTCTCATATGTTTTGTCAATACCGATATTTGTGTAAACTGTTTTAAACAAACCAAGCACTTATGTGGTTTTTCACCAGTATGTAGTCGTAAGTGGTTTTTTAATGTACTTGAATGAGCAAAAGCTCTTCCACAAGTTCCACATATAAATAGTTTTTCTCCTGTATGCACCACCATATGATTTTTTAAGGTAGCAGGATGCGCAAATTTTTTGTCACAATGTTCACAAGCATATGGTTTTTCACCAGTATGTACATGAAGATGATGATCAAAACTAAATTTGTCACGAAACTCTTTTCGACATGTTCCACAACTATATTGCTTATCTCCGGTATGTGCCCTTCGTCGATGCCGCGCTCGTTTCACGCTGTCAGAAAACAGTTTTCCACACCACTCACAAGCATATCCACCAGATACATTTCTGGCCCTTGCTTGATCAATTAATTGTCTCGATATCACATCAGAAGTTGATTTAGAATCACTTTGTGAAATAAATTCTCTTTGATATTGAACTTCAACAATATTGACGACCTCTGATTCTTGACCTTTAACCCCATCTAACTTCGAAACCAAATCGTTAGCTGATTTAGAGTTAGTGGCCGTAACATTAAACATGTATTCCTTAATCCCATTTTGAAGTTTGATATCAGAATGGGTCCAATTCTGAGAATTGAGAGTCGTTGTTACATCGAGAGACATTGCAATAAACACATACTATGAATGCCAAGAACCAGAAATATAATGAGAAAAATTACAACAATTATTAAACATATCAATACACCCCTGAGAATGTGTAGTTTGGTAGGGACAATGGAGTTTTGTCATTTAAATGAAGCTGAAGCCAAGTTTACCATAATAGATGGGCCTTAATAAGCTCCTAACTATCTTATTTTTCACATTCATAATTTTGTAATACACGGTATAAATATTAGAATCTATTTCTCTCACTTCACAGCTAATAATTTTTTTTAAATTCAATTTGTAATACTAATTTTTTATAAGTTTCAAATTGAATTCGTATATCCAAAAGATATTGATAGCTGAAGCTGATGTTTCCGGTAGTGGTACAGTATTGTATGGAGCAAAGGCCTGACTACGGAGCTTACAATATTTCTCTGGAGACCGGGCCATTGTAATTTAAAACCGTCTACGCAGCCCTAGCGCATCATGCTTAGTTTTAGAAACACACCTCAATGATCAACCTGTAAGACTCTGCAAATTGTATAAAAATTTTCTTGTCTCAAACTACATAACCAATGGTTTAAATTGGATACTTTCGCATAACTGAAGGGCAAATTAAAAAAAAAATGATTCAGTCGTTTCGCTTAATTTAAAGTAGAACAAGATGGAGATTACTGTTTATGTAATTATCCGTAATTAATATCCGTAGAAACCCTTTATATTGATTTTTAAAAATATTATAGAAACTTTTTTGTTTGTTGCCATGCACACCCCGGCTATATCAGTGCGGTAAACTAAGTTCAAAATTCCTCGTAGCATGCAGTACACTAAACGTGAATAAACATGGGTCAGGGTTAGCATGTGTAACAAACAATAAAGTGCAAAGAAGTTTATAAGTTCAAGCTGTTATTTCTGCTATTGACATTATCTTAATAATTATAACAGTAAAATTTTATTTTGACTCCATAATACAGTAACGAGAATATCGGTCAGAGACCGAAGACTTATCGATCGAAAGTTAGGGGATCCCCCAAAACAGCGCTCTTACGCCATAGCGACACCTTGTGTTCCATCAATAATTAATTAATAACTTGCTAATTATACGACATAATTCATTCAAAATCAATAGGCTTCTGGTCCGACATATGATGAATGCACATGCAAAATCTGGAGCAGATTCAATCTCGCTTTCGTGAGATAATAGCGTGCATCTAACAGACAGACATACAGACAAATACCTATTAAGATACCCTAATTAAAATCGATAAGTAATGAGCTTTAAAGAAACAATAAAAAAATTTCTAAATATGAAATAAGTAAAACCTATTAGCTATTACAGAATCAAGAGAGCAGAAAATCTTAAAACGTACAGATTTTAGATTAAAGGCAGAAAGTTGTTGTCAAAAGAACTCACTGTGTTAACTCACCAAACAGTATTAGGTTAATTAAAACATGCATTTGATAATGGGTGTCATGTTTCCCAGATTAATAGATTGCAGAATTTTAACATACAGACATATCAAAGTATGTATACCGATTCACATAATAATACTATGTTTGCTGATCAAAAAGCTTAATGGGATATTAAAACCCTGAAACCAATTCTCAAGAAAGTCCTGATCCTTTTTTTTTGTGCCAAATAAATTCCAATGCCAAACGGAATTTTCGTATCGAGATTTTAGAATCGAATTATTATATTATGAATAAATTTTTTTTGTTTCCATGTTTCAGTTTTTTATTTTGAATCCCGTTCCCCTAATATAATGATATATATGAATAGTATAATAAATATCCAAACAAAAACAAATTCATACCATTACCATGATATCATTAATTTAATATATTCCAATATTATGTCCACAGTAGTTGAGTTTATCCACATGTAATCCAATCAGTTTTATATTAGTTACCGTATTTCCTGACGAATAAGTCGCTTTTCTAGACCCAAATTTTGGGATTGCAATTTGTGAAAATCATCAATTGTTTTTGTCATCGTGATGTCTTATTTAAGCCATAAACATCTTTTATTTCAGCATTTATTCTCCCTAAATCACAAATTTTCTTTACATATGTTTTGTGCCACGAGGACGGCGATAATAACTTTATTGTTCTCAAACAACCATGTCACTTGTGAGACACGAGTTATTACATGATCATGTGTGACGAGATGCTAAGATAAATAAAGGAGCGAATACGTGACCCAGATTTTCTTCATTGAAAAGCGGAATTATAAAAAAATCAAAACAAAATGGAAAACATCATTTAGGTTTTATTTTAGGATGGCCCGTGACAGATTTAAGATGATTTTTTAGACATTGCAAAACGCAAGAACATTTTGTGTTCTACATCTACAAACGGGATCTGATGCGACTATGATATCTATATGTATGTATAATAAGTATTGTATATCCAATTCATTTTTTGAAATAAATTTACTCTGTGGGATATTATCGCTGACTTTTTTTAGGGTGATATCCTAAAATAATGAGTGACAGCATTGCGATGGAGCGGAATAAGTGTTGCAGCAACAGCGATGTTTTTAATTGGAATAAATACGAATCAAAACAACAAATAATCGTACATGTCCATTTCCACGGATTGCGTTGATATTTTGGAATAGTGATACTATTAATGTTGTCGCAATCGCAGATTAAGTTGATCACAATTAAATTAATGAGGCAACACGTTTCATTTCGTGGAGATTTCGAGGTGATGAAGATGTATGTTTGATATAATATACACTTTATATGTATATTTTTTGTCCTTAAGTGTACTTCCTGGGATTTTATAGCAGATCTTGAGATTTTTATAACGACGATAACAAACTCGCAAGAGCGCAAAAATATGTATGCAAACTAAAATTATCAGGCGGTTTATCTCACATTATTATGTCCGCAGATTGCCAATCGCAGGTTACGTTGAGCACAATTATATTAAAATTGAAAGGCAGTCTGAAATCCTGTAGTTGTCGTGGATTGAATATTACGCAACATGAAAATATCATTATGGGCTATTTGAACAAATGCGCAAACGGCGCGACCGCTCAGAAGCCATTGCATGATAATTTTAGATTCCGATTTTGATGTGATTTCACTTCTCGTCTCATTGGGAGATTATATGCAAAAACCCATTTTTTCGGGTTTAAAAACGAACCTCATCTTATTTATCGGGTGGACTTATTCGCCTGAAAATACGGTATACCATTTAGCATAAAAAATGTAACCAGAGAACAAAAATTAGACAAAGAATAAAGAAAACACCAAGCTCTTATCTTGGGTTTTCCTATTTACCACCTACGGTATGTCTCATACATCTCCATCTAATGAAAATGATGTCTGGATGTACAAATTATAAAATTGAATTAGCTTTCACAGGATATTAAGCATACCTACTTGGCGTTGCATAGAAACTTACATATGTACCGTAAAACCGGCTAACTTCGGATGCCTTGTAACTTCGGATGAAATTTTCAATCATTCATATCTCAACTAAATTTCGTCGTATTGCGCTTCTGTCGGTTTCTATAGTAAGGCCTTACATATCTGAATCTGCCGTAGCCTCCAATCGCTCGATTTGATTTTTTATCATTCAAAAAATCATATTTTACCAAAAAAATGACACCGTTTTTTCGAGCGGCTCAAATCGTGACTTCTACAGACGCTACCTTCGTCAAATCACCGCCAAGCGCTAGAGAGCGTACACAATGTATACAAAAAAATACAGTGATCACAAGGTGTCGTACGAGATTCGAGTGAAATCGATTATTTTGATTTAAAAATTACATCAAAATATTGACGTTTTGATGATTACGTACAGCGTGACGTCAACGACGCAAATCCCTTTCTCTCTCTTCGTAGCCGACGTCACTTTGCGTAGCTTGTGCGTTACTCGCTGCGACATTTGAACGTCAGACATCGCGGCGCCCAGTTTTGTGAAATTTAAAAATTATGCTTATCCATGATCCTAGTCACTAACCCATGTGGAAATGATTACAATTCTTGATTTTGCCAGCGTTTCCTTCAATTCATCTGTTTATTTTCAACTGTCGAATTTTTGTTCATACCTTACTTGTTCCATATTGCTTTTTGATTTCAATTTTTACTTTTGCCAGTGTTTCATTCGATTCATCCGTTTATTTTTAATTGTCTAATTTTTGTTCATTCTTTACTTGTTCCATATTGCATTTCAATTTCAACCTACACCGGTGTTAGGTACTTTCAATTCTTCCGTTTTTTTTTTTTTTGTTAATCCTTTTCTTGCATTGAAAATAAACGATCATAAAAGAACGAACTAGCATTTTGCAATAAATTAGGAGTAGTTAGTGAAATATATACGAGTTATAATAAAGGACACAAGAATAAATAGTTAAGTTTCGCGAAGCGGCAAGAGTAACGTCACGTACAAACGTCAGAATGCAACACGCAAGACGGGTCGTGGCGGCGTAAGGTCTATTCAGCGACGTTGTCACGCGTCATTGCTTACGCAGACATTTCTCTCTCACGACGAGTTGACGCAAAGAGAAAAGTGGCCATCCGAAGTTAGATAATTTTAGAATAGACGAATAAAGACAATAATTTCAATGAAAAAAGGCTTTGATGGATATGGAACCGACTTTATCAAGACGAGAATAGCCACAATGTATTATATTCCAAATTTGGCTTCAGTTGAACAACATGCGGCGGAGATATTGTTCAAAATATAGTGAAATCATCCGAAGTTAGCCGGTTTTACGGTACGTCATGATTGACCTACAGTATGTATTAATCATCAATGTGCTCATATAACAATAATACATTTCTTTCACTTGTTTTTAGTAAATTCAGAAATATAAGATTCCTATCAATTTACACTTCTGCACTTGTAAATGAACAATCCACAAAATGGCAAAAAACACAGACAGACAGAAGGCCGCATTATAATTAAACAATTATTTTAATTTATTCACATTGACCATTTTGCAATAGGTACCGGTACCGTCCCTTCAGACCTTACGATAACGATACTACCATAGAACCGTACCGGTACCGGCCATTCGTGACTATATTCAGTTACCTGCTGACCGATACGCCTACGGTACCTCAGTCAGTGAATGTCTGTTAGTTTTATTTTATGATTCGCTTTTATAAAGTCGGCCTATTTAATATCGATACCGTATATATGGTTTATATAATAATAATAATTGCGGAACCACAATGTCAGATGCAAAATTACAAAACAGAAAAACGTTGAGGGTACGGCATCAGATATGCAAGCCAAAAGCCACGGCGCAAAATAACGCGCGAATCGTTATCAAAGATGAGCGGAGTC